CGATCTTGTCTCCGTCATGCAGGACTGAAGAAGTGGGTGGAGGTGGGGAACTCGGGGGTCTTCAGACCCGAGATGCTGCTGCCGATGGGCCTCCCCGAGGACGTGTCTGTGATCGCCTGGGGTTTGTCTCTGGAGAGGTGAGTGTGTGTGTGAAGGATCAGAACGGAGCACGTCAGTCCCTAATCTCCTCATTTAAGGATTAAAAGTGAGATCAGCCCGTCTGTCCACGTCGTCGTCCTCTCTTGCTACAGAGCTCACATGTAGCTATTTTAAAGTTTCGGTTCAGGAATCAGTTTAAATAGACATAATAGTATAAACTGTAGGGGGTTGAAGACGGTGTTTTTGCCAATACAGAGTTAAACTCCTGTTTGTTTGTCTCAAGGCTTTAGATTCATAGATACAACAAATCCTCCTCTGACCCGCAGGCCCACCATGATCAAATACGGCATCAACAACATCAGGGAGCTGGTGGGACACAAGGTGAACCTGCAGATGGTCTACGACAGCCCCGTGTGTCGGCTGGAGTCCTGAGGCTCCCCCGTCCCGCACGGCGCCGCCGGTACGAGGTCATCCGGTAGAACGACCGCAGCGAGACTCATTTTAACTCACCGGAGCAGCTTTCGTATGAACTCGTTGCTGGAGAACACCAGTTTCTCTCCATCACCGTGCCCCAGTTTGTACTGGTACCGGGTTATGGGATTCAATAAAACACCTTTTCAACATACCAGAACCACATGACGTGTTTTGATGGAGGGTTCGTTTCCGTCTTAAGAATGCAATGGTTTAATATTTTATATCTGCACAACCAAGTCGTGCTCTTGACCTCAAAACGTTTGTAAGACAACAAGTCTGTCTGAGCTTCGCAGGAAGAGTTTTTCTACGATAAGCCGCCCTGCTCGCAGGTAACGACGCGGCTGATGACGGTCGGGTTCCTCTTGGAACGTCCCATCGTTAATGTGATCAGGAACCTCCTCCCACGGCTCAAGTGTGCTGGGAAAACAAAATGGGAAGATTGATTCTTACTGGAAGTGAGGATTTAAATTCGGGTTTCCAGCTGCTGGTTGAGGAACATTTTGGTCTTTTTTTCAGTCACGCCACGATGACGAGCTCGTCCGGACAAACGAGACGGTGACCTGTAAATCTGCTCTAGAAGACGCAATTGCATTAGATAAATGGACGTTGATTTGATATATTTAACAGTCAACATCTTTAAACCACCGCGGTTTCAAACTCCTCTGAACGTCCATTTGCGATGTGGGTTCGTCTCAGTCTGTGATGGAAAAGAAGCTTCTGCTCGGTTTGTAATTCCGAGGATGTGGGATTAGTTCATCGTTCCACCTTCTGTAGCGACATTACGGCCTGTAATATCTTGGAAAGGAAATCCATAATAAATGAATCCTAGCTGCGTTTGATGCCAATGGGAGCCTTTAAAGTTATGCATCATTTCATAACGGCTTGTTTATTAAAAAATGAGCACTTCCCTTCCCTATCCGTGTGATACCTGCAGGATTAAGTTGTGTGTTTTGTACATGTTGAATTGCCAGAACTCTGTTAAGTCTTCCTCTTAAGATAATCCCTCGGTGTCTTGAAATAACGCTTTGCTCCTGCGAGTGGGAGACCGCTGGTTGGTTCACAGCCCGGCCGCGGCTCACCTGACTACTGATAACTGCGCCAGCAGTCCGATCTGCTGAGCATGTGTTGCACTTTAGGAGCAATAGCAGTGAGAAAGAACCACCAGTACGTCCTGTAAATAAAACACTTTATACTTGGAAAGAAAGAATCTATGAATAAAGACAATCTAACACGTCTAGCAGCTTCTCTGCAGCTCAGGCATGCAGACACAATGTCCAGGGACCTTGTCCCTTGACACCTTTATGTCCGTGGGTTCTCCTCAAAGGGTTTGACACCGCGTGTGAGACAATACCCAGTCCTGAGGAATCATTAAAGTGAAAGAGACTGGAACCGCCATTTCTTTTCGCCGCCGTCGGTTGGTAGCTGCTCGTGTTTCATGTGTGCCCACACTTCATCACCCGGGCTGTTTGTGGTCTTGGGGGGTTAGTGTGTGTGGGGGGTGGGGGGTAGGGGGGCGTCCCAATCAGAGCTCCCTGTAGCTGCCGACGTCTCGGACCGGTCCCGGGCTGTTGAACACCAGGGAGCTCGTTGGGCTGTGCGCGTGCGGGAAGAAGGAGGGGATGTAGGGGATGGCGGCCATCAGCATGGGGCTGATCTGGGGGCTCTCGTCGTGGCAGGGCAGAGAGATGACCACGTCGTCCTGGTCCCACACGTGGAAGGCGTTGTGGGCGAACGGGTGCACCAGAGGCGGGTGGCTGGAGGCCGTGCGCTGCGGCGGGCTGCTGTCTTTCTCCTTCTCTTCATCCCCGGTCGGGCCGAGCACGCACTCTGAACAGGGGAGAGGCCTTTGGGTTAAATACCAACGATATCGAAAAGGGAACGACGTCAGTGTTTGGCTTTACATGTCAGTAGGAGACACACAAAGGCTTTACATGTCAGTAGGAGACACACAAAGACTTTACATGTCAGTAAGAGACACACAAAGACTTTACATGTCAGTAAGAGACACACAAAGACTTTACATGTCAGTAAGAGACACACAAAGACTTTACATGTCAGTAAGAGACACACAAAGACTTTACATGTCAGTAAGAGACACACAAAGACTTTACATGTCAGTAAGAGACACACAAAGACTTTACATGTCAGTAAGAGACACACAAAGACTTTACATGTCAGTAAGAGACACACAAAGACTTTACATGTCAGTAAGGGACAGACAAAGACTTTACATGTCAGTAAGGGACACACAAAGACTTTACATGTCAGTAAGGGACACACAAAGACTTTACATGTCAGTAAGAGACACACAAAGACTTTACATGTCAGTAAGAGACACACAAAGACTTTACATGTCACTAAGAGACACACAAAGGCTTTACATGTCAGTAAGAGACACACAAAGACTTTACATGTCAGTAAGAGACACACAAAGACTTTACATGTCAGTAAGAGACACACAAAGACTTTACATGTCAGTAAGAGACACACAAAGACTTTACATGTCAGTAAGAGACACACAAAGACTTTACATGTCAGTAAGAGACACACAAAGACTTTACATGTCAGTAAGAGACACACAAAGACTTTACATGTCAGTAAGAGACACACAAAGACTTTACATGTCAGTAAGAGACACACAAAGACTTTACATGTCAGTAAGAGACACATAAAGACTTTACATGTCAGTAAGAGACACACAAAGACTTTACATGTCAGTAAGAGACACATAAAGACGAGGGAGTAACGTTAAAAATGTTGGTAACAATTTTATACTTATATATTGAAACATTGGGTTGAAACAATTAGCAGGCAAACGTTTGTTATGTAACGTCTCTGTTTAAACAAAGTAATGAATACATGGCTGAAATAGTTTAACGTACAGATAAACAGCGGTGCAGCGTTATATAGAACGGAAACAGCTCGTCGCTACTTGTAGCCGTTATAGCAATAGTAGACTAAAAAGTAAAAATATCCTCATCTAGAAATGAATGGGTGAACAATGTTAAATAGTTTTCTAATGGTAAATTAATTGAATACACGTTTGAAGTTTGTTAGCTAAAAGTAACGAATGAATGATATTACAGCCACAAGGAATGAAACGAAGATGTTCAATTGTATGAAATTAAATAATATCCAGTTCTTTATATCGCTAATAAAGATCATGATTGCTGGAGTGAACTAAAGGGTTCTTCAGTAGCCGAATGATTAGTGCTGATCCCTGATGACCTTTTGACCTCACCGTCTCTTTATCAACACCTCCATCTGACGAATGACGCCTAAAAACCCACCTGTTATGTCGATGGCCAGATCCTTGATGAGATGCCCCACGATGGCGTAGGCGACCCCCACCACCACCATGCCGGCCATGAGCACGTACAGCACGCCCTTCGGCAGCGGGATCAGGTCCTTCACGGGCGGCCGGTACTGCCGGTACATGGGCTCCTCGGTCGGCGGGGCCATCGCGTACCCTTTCCCGCTGTAGTTGGAGGCGACCAGGAGGCTTCCGTTCGCGAGCAGCGACATTTTACTCCCGCGTCTTGTTGCACCACTCAAAGCTGAAGACAACAACAACAACAACAACGCAACCTGCTGAATTCCTGCAGAGAAAAACAAAACAAAATGAACGTGTTGGTAAGTGACAGCTTTTAAAACGTTGAACTTCGCTGCTAACCTTATTCTGTTGCTGCAGACGTGTGAGTGACGCGCATCCCTGCCGGTGTATCTGCGCCGGTCGCGTGAGGCCTTCTGTCCGCTCTGTCCGCGGTGCTGAAATGAAGCGCGCCCTCTGGCCGGCGGGTCTGGACCTCTTAGCTCCGCCCACCTGAGCCCTTAAGTCCCACAAATTACCGAGAAATCGACTCGTGGGAAAAATCAACCAAAGCCTTTGTTTCCGATGCGTGGAGAGCTGATCCAAGCCGATCCAAGCCGGGTAGGTTACCCGGGGGCATGAACATTACTTCACACCCCAAGTAGGGCAACTTTAAAGCATGTACAGATATATCAAATAAATAAATATTAACTAAATCCCAACTCGCTTCCACACCAGTCGGTGAAATGTTTAATTGTTGATATTGAAATACAACTAAATGCCTCAGTGATGTCAGCCTTTGTTTTTAGTAGTAAAGCTTTGACTCCCATTACCTCTGTTACACGAACGACACTCGCGTGATGTCACAAGAATGGCAGAGGACAAAGGTCAGTGAGATGGCTTAACAGTACAGAAATATTGTAACAAGATTTAGTGATGCTACCAGTTACGCGTTAAGCTTCAGATGCTTTCGTTAAAATAAATCACATAATAGTCCCAGTATTTAAGTGCGAATTCACATCTACTTTACTACTTAAACACTTAACTGTCAAAGTCAAAATAATGAGAAAATAAGTGACGATTGAGATTTAAGACCAAATGATCAGGTAAGCCAAAAAACCTTAATACAACTACTTTAATGAATCAACGGCGAGGATGTTGTCTGACACGCAGGGCATCAAATATAAACATCTCAAATACATGAACTCTGAGGGATTTATTTAGAGACCACTTCAAGACCCAAACAAATTATCTAATATTGCACAATTGGCCACAGTATGTATACAAAGCAGAACATAGTTCATTCTCTCCTCGTTCATAAATCATCTCACGCCCCCTCCATATGAATGTCACTGAGGGGGAAATAACAGCTGGCTTATGTCCCTAAAACGAAAATAACTTGTTTATTTAAGTTTGACCTGTCAAACCATGCAAGGTTATGACCTCTTAGTGATAAACACCTCACTGTAGTAACTGAGCTGGTCACAGATGTTCTCTCACATGATACAAACACTGCACAAGCAATTAAAAACAAGTCGGAGGCATTTATGCAATTTTCTCTTTAGAATATCAGTAATAACGACAGCAGCATATGTAAAAGTCTATGCATTAATACGACGGGGGATTAAACCTCAAACTGTTATGATCAAGACTAGAAAAAGTCCCTTTCTTCAAGTTGGAAAATCAACTTCTGAACAAATCACACACACTTAGATAGTGACTCGTTCATTTCCTCAAAATAAAGCACTCCAAATCGCGCTGACCTAATAATGAAGTCGTCATAACTGTGTGCCTCAGTGAGGACAAACATTGTGAGGACAAACATTGTCTTTCTACAGATGGGAACTCAGGAGTTTGGCAGCGGGGCTCCTGCTGTTTGGGCGAGACGAGGTCCCCGTCTATTTGCCCACAGTGAAGGACTGCAGTCCTGTGATGGCTCGTCCCAGGATCAGCGCGTGGATGTCGTGGGTACCTGGAGGAGGAGCAGGAGGCGACGGCACAGGATCAGCATCTCACAATTACATATAGATCGACGCAATGACATAATCAGATCAAAATTGGACTAAAAGCCAAAACACCGTCATCTGTGTTTCTCGTCTCCCTCCTCACCTTCGTACGTGTTGACAGCCTCCAGGTTCATGACGTGGCGGATGATGTGGTACTCGTCTGAGATGCCGTTTCCTCCCAGCATGTCCCTGGCCTGCCTGGCGATGTCCAGGGCCTTGCCGCAGCTGTTCCTCTTCAGCATGGAGATCATTTCCGGGGCGGCTCTGCCGAGAGAACAAGTTAGTCGGTAGTTCTCACAAACACATTTGAATGACTTGATCCCATTTGACCCTTTATGTAGCTCCATCCAGTCAAGCTTTCTTCCAGTACTTTGCTTTATGACACAATACCATCAGCCTCTGGGACACTTTGCGATTAGTTGGATCTGCAATAACTGTATTTGACACCAACTTTCATGACCTAAACTAACTAAAGGAGGAAATACTTCTACCACTTCTATATGGTCTGCAGCTGGGCCCCTCGTGAAGGGCCAATAGCATCACATCTTTACCTTTTAGCATCGATTAGTCTTCCCAGCTGCACACAGGCCTGCAGGCCGATGGTGATCTCTGTCAGCATGTCGGCCATTTTCTTCTGCATCAGCTGGTTCCTTGCCAGTGGCACGCCGAACTGGATTCTGGTGTGGACAACAACAGCGCCTCGTTATCCACTTGTTTTACTAAGCAATGATCCGTCCAGAGTGAAATAAGAGACGACATCGAGGCCGTCCGACCTGTCCAGCGTGTACTGCCGAGCTGCGTGGAAACAGAACTCGGCTGCGCCCAAAGCGCCCCAGGCGATGCCGTAGCGAGCGTTGTTCAGGCAGCCGAAAGGACCCTGGAAGCAGCAGGAGGAGGAGTGATGAGCGATGCAAGTAAGACCCATCTAATATTAGCATGGACGTGTCAAGTCTTTTGACCACGTTCCACAAACGCCGGGCCGCCTGGCTGCACTCACCGCGAGGCCCGAGACGTTGGGCAGCAGGTTCTCCTCGGGGACCTCCACCTCGTCCATGACGATCATGCCGGTGGCCGAGGCTCGGAGGGAGAACTTGCCCTCGATCTTGGGCGTCGTCAGGCCCTTCATGCCGCGCTCCAGGATGAAGCCGCGGACCTTCCCGTCGTCGCACTTGGCCCAGACGACGGCTACGTCCGCCACCGGGGAGTTGGTGATCCTGAGACCGGAGGCAGAGGGAGCGTTAGAGGCCCATAGGCTGCATTTCCACCATAGAGAGTAAACGTAACGGTGCAGCACAGGCGTACTGGGATATTTCTTGCGGCAAATAAACTAAATAAACTTATTTACTTGTATGAAGTTATACAATTAATAAAACAAGAATGACAACCACCGATTCATCAAACGTTAGCTAGTAAACCTCTTTCATTCGGTACTAAACGTTCCCCCACGTGGACAACTAATGTCACACAAAACTAACACCACTAAAAACCTTTTTACTTTAATATAAACAATTTCATCAGATCGCGGTTTACAGGAAAAGTCAATTTGCTCACGTGTAAATATGCCTGATATTGCCATCAGACATTTAATGTCATCATTAGTCAACTTGTTGCAGACGTAGAAGAAGAAGAAGTATGATTTTACACATACAGGAAACTGTCCTCTGCATCACACAGTGGGAGCAGCCGGGGTTCAAAGATCCGACTAATGAAACGAGTTCCTCCCCATAGAAGTCATCGCACTGTTCCTACTCTATTTCTGACTAAGTGGAAAATATCCTCCAGGGCTAAATGTAAAACAAAGACCAAACACATTCAAATAAAGAAAGTCAATTAAAATACTGACTCAAAGTCTTGAAATTGAAAAAAAAGTTTGTCCTCCAAAACGAAGGAATTTCTGTAGGCGCAAGAAACCCCCTAATCGGTCTTCACGTGATGTCATTGAAGCTCACCAGGTCTTGGAGCCGGTGACCGAGTAGGTGCGACTGGACGGATTGTACTTGGCTCTGGTCTCCATGCCGCTCGGGTCGCTGCCGTGGTTCGGCTCCGTCAAGCCAAAGCAACCCAGGATCTCCCCCCGAGCTGGGAGAGACGGAGGGGAGGAAACCAACAGCTCAGTCGCCCGTCACGGGGGGGGGGGGGGGGGGGATGCTGGGAGGAACGACGGGACGCGTTCATACTTGTGGCTGTCCGCTTACCCAGCTTGGGGAGATACTTCTGTTTCTGCTCCTCTGTGCCGTAGGCGTTAATCGGGTGCATGACCAGCGACGACTGCACGCTCATGACGGAGCGATAGCCGCTGTCCACGCTCTCGACCTCTCTGGCGATCAGACCGTACGCCACGTAGCTCGTCCCGGCGCAGCCGTAGCCTTAGCGTGACACACAGGAAGGGGAGTTGTTGTGAAGCATCAAATTCAATGGAAAGAATCTTGAGTTGGTAAATACAGTTACATTTAATGGGCTAAAAAAAGGATTTCGTCACAAACCAAACAAAGTAAACACACAGGTGGACGCGCACAAAGTCCGATTCAGACCCCGAAACCAAACAAAATAATGCTGCAATAAAACACATTTATTGTGTTAAGATGATCAAAAACGAAAGCTTTATACCGGATTTGGGATCTCCTTTGTAGCAGCCTTTGACTCACCTTTAATGGTGGGGCCCAGGACCCCCATCTCTCCCATCTCTGACACGATTTCTCTGTCAAACACTGAAGAGAACGACACAAGCAGCAGTCAATGGCGCTGTTTCAACCTCGAGGCGATGTTAGTGCATAAAACATGAAGACCAGCAGGTAAAAAGGCCGTGGCTCACGCATGGAGAAACCCGAAGAGAAGTCTCGCACCTTCATTTCTGTTGGCCATAAGGATGCGAGGCATGAGTTTCTCTTGGCAGTAAGTCCGGAAGGAGTCTCTGATCATGATCTCCTCCTCCGTCAGAAGGCCCTCCAGGTCCAGGCCATCACGCCAGTTGAACTGGACCTTTTCTGTCACATATTTAGAAGAGGTACAAGTCAGAAACATTTAAACGGCAGATAAAACAAACATAATAAAACAACGATTTCAGAAATAAGAGGCTGTTGACACCTACGTGTTTTGGACTTCGAGGCAACCTTCTCGTTGTCTGTGAAGATTGGAAACAGAAAAATTATTAAAAAGGGAAGTAATGATATAACACGGTTTCCCTGAAAATCTTGAATAGTTCAGGAAAACACAAGTGTCATGTTGTGTATGTTCAAAAACACACACACACACACAAAACCTATCCAGATAAAACGCGCCATCCGGATAGTGAATTTGACACCATATTGGTTTTGTGCGCGATGCAACTGCAGACACATGACACAAACCAGAGCGACGCCGGGTGCGAAAAGAGGTCGGTGGAAAGTATCTTTGTCAGGAAAGCACGAGGTGATCTCAGTTGGGTATTTAGCGACACGGACCCTCCTCATCCCCCTCATGCAGATTCCATGTCACGTTAAATGAGTATCTTCATGACCATGTGTTATTTGTTGTAAATGTTTATTGAGAATCAGGTACAACACAGCGACACTGCAAGTAGCGCAGCGTCTTAAATAAAAGTGATGTGTGTCTCAATGCGAGGCTTTAGAAATGAACACAAAGGGATTCTATATTTGCTCATAAAGCCTGAAAAAACGGGTTATTTCTCCAATGTTTTGACAACTGACCGCTACTTTAAGTAGTTTTGAAACCAGTACTTTTATACTTTTACTTCTTTTTAAACCCTAGTATCTACACTTCTACTTGACACATGTGCGTGTGTATAGAAATCCGCTGTGGCCACACGACTGTACAGCTGTTTTCTAACAGATGGGGTGACGGTACTCACCACATCTGGCCGCCGCTGCAGTTCCCTGCGCTCTGCACGCGGACACGACGGCGCGTCGGTGAGGGTCCAGCAGGAGGCGCCACAGCGCGCCCCGCAAAGCCATGATGGAGAGGAGTCTGCCGGAAGGACAAAACGACGCTTTATACGAAACACTCGTAGCTTGAAGTGGACCTCACGGCAGTGATTTAAGACGACTGTCTTCATGAAATGAATTAGAACGTTGGTCTACTAACCGCGAGTCAATGTTATTACACACAGACACTCGTTCGATACGAACGAGGGACTTGAGCTGCAGTTGGGGATGAAAAGCGACGATACGAACAAAGTAGAAAAGTAACACTGTTCTCTGGATTATTTCGTTTGGAGCTTAAACTTTACCTCCCACTGCAGCGAAGCTATTTCAGCTCAACTAACGTGTCCGGCGGCGTTACGTCAACCACGGCTACAGGCTAACAGCGCTAGCACGCCATAGTTAGCTAATAACTCTGTGCCAAACGACGTGACGTCCGTAAGCCACGGGGACAGCGAGCTGTGCGGGGAGGGTCGCGGGAACCCGCTGGCCGCTCTGTCGGGACCATTCACCTGTTACGTGGCGCCGCAGTCGGTGGTCTCGCTCCGTTGTTTTGTCACTGAGGTCGATGGCGCTCACTCCTCGGTCACTCGGGGCAGTGAACGTCAAACCTGACGTCATCACGTAAAGCACGCTGAGCTGGACGTGCCACCATGTGCTGGAGATTAAGCCATGAACAACTTGTTTTGCCCTGACATCCGATGCAGTTCTCTTGATTCATAACTGCATGTGAATATTACGATGATGACGTAAACATTATCAATGATTTTTTTTAAGGCCGCCGACTTTATGGGACAGTTCGGCGACAGCGGACCCCGTGATTGGCTCGTTGGCAGGGGGCGTGGACAGCTGGACCGTTGAAGCTGTGCGAGCTGTGTTCGTGTTTCAGTTCCCAGAATAATTAAGTGTCAGGGGAAGATAGACACCTGCTGCCTTCTTTTCCAAGAGGTTCTGACAGCATTTGTTTTCATAACAGTGACGTTCACACGCTGTTGTAAGTTATTTGAAAGTTGTAAAAGTTTCTGTGCAGGAGGCCAAAGGAATTTTCCAATGCAACCATTTTCCATCAGTGCGAGCATGACATAACATAACCACAAGGGTGGCAGCATTGAAGACAATGATTCTCCATGAAAAAGGAATAAAACTACACCCCCCCCCCCACCCCGCCCATCCCCTCATTTTCAAACACATGTCACATATTAATCTGACAGCAATAGTTAACTTGGATATTAAAAAACAATTAATTTATAGTACGCTCTCCCAGCACAAATGATTACACTGTAAATATTCACATTAGTCCCATCTGTACCAGGTAGGCTACAATATTTAGCTTACAAGTTTAAGGGAATATACAGCAGTTTAGTAGCTTGTTGCACTTCAGTAAAGTTGGGGCGTAAGAGGCAGAAGAATACTACTGTCAATATAATGCTACTCTCTGTGAGTAAACTGTACAAAATGAAGTAATGGTGGTGAATTTTACCCGAATACAGCACAATCTACATTACTTTAATATAATCCTCTGAAAGTATCTGTTCTTTTGCTCATAATAACTCTGTATTATCACTTAAGCCACATTTCGAGTTTTGCTATGTAGTTTTTATATTTTTGCTTTGCGATATTTCCAATTTTACTATTTGGATTTTCTTCTCCTCTGCAGCCGACTACAGCAGCGGTCCTGACCCACAGAGCGCACAGTCATACCAGGCAACGTTAGGCATGAAGGCTGAATTATGAATGAATAGATTGCTTTTATAATTAATGTTGTCTTGAAATATAAGTAATGCTATACCAATGCACTTTTGGCTATTGTAGATACATTTTCCCCATAAAACTGCTACTGTACAGACCTCGCTATATTATATAGAATAGAATATTTCTCATTGTTTGGTTATGGTGCGTGTTAGACGTTTATAGCAGCTCATTGGGTAGTTACGCCTACATTAGTCCAGGAACGTAAACGCCCGCCTTCACGCAACGATTGGCGGAGCTTCCTTGTCAATCACAGCGTGCTGCGTTGCCATTGGCCTGCTCTCCTCTCTTGAGGAATCCCTCTTTAAATGTTAGCAGGACGGTGAAGATTTCGGAGCGGATTTCTACCGGAGTGCTCAAAGTGTCAAAAGGCGCCGCCAGGTGTCCTCTGGACTGGAAATATGCTGTAGTTAGTGACACTTTAACAATAAAAATAACATTCCGTTATCATGGAACTGGAGGAGAAACATAAATATGGTAACTATTTATAGTCCAACCAAGGCATGCTTTGATTCAGTGTTTTGCTCGGCGAGTTGGACGTCATCCAACGAGCCTGAAGAATGTTACTGGCTTTATTTCTGGCGTGTGGCGATAGCGGCGCTTCTGTCTGTGGCACCGCAAGTACTCTCCGGTATTTAAGTGCAGGACGTGCTTTCGTGCTGCACTTGGCTGCTAATAACGTCCCGCTTGAACTTCTTCAAACCTGCTTGCCAACTCGCACGTTGCCTTACTTTTGAATGTACACACATGTGTTTTCTACAATGCATAATGCGTGCGTGTTGTTTTGAAAAGACTCCCCCGGTAGTGTGTGCAGGGATCGAGCGGAGGTCCCGGTTCCTCTGCGGTTCCTCTGCGGTTCCTCTGCTGCCACATTCCTCAGCCTGGGCTGCATAGAGCTCATGAGGTGTGAGGCATGTGGTGGAGGTCTGTCAGTGCCATGTTGGAATCCTCTGCTAATCGGAGCACATCGCTGTGGTTCAAAACACAGTAACCCCCGTTAAACCTCTTATAATAAATATCTCTTATAATTGTGCTCCACGTAGGGACTCACCGTAAAAGGCTCCTCAGTATTGTTGTTGCTTTGTGTAACTGAATGGAACAATAACAGATGTGGCGATTCACGTTGAGCATGGATGCTATAACAAGTCGGGATGGCGACAACAGGAGGCCCCTCTTCTGTCCGTTCACGGCCTTCACGATGTGGCTTTAACTTCTTTTCCCTCCTTCTTCTCCGCTCTGCCCGCCACACCGGGGCTCATGGACTCACATTGCCAACCCCTGCCCACGAGGCACAACCCCACCCAATCAGGGATGCGGACGGAGAAGAGACGCCACGGTTGCGTTCGGACCTGACGGAGAAGACGCTCGTAACTCTGCTGCAAACCCTCCGAGGGAGCGGCCCGAGGCTTGAGGCCGCAGCCTCCAGAAACCTTCAGTGCAACGCGCATTAATATTTATCAGTGCGTCTGGAGGCTATAGAGGGGAAAGTTCTAAAAAAGAGGGACACGGGGACTCTAACCTAAACCTCCGGAGCATTCGGCACGCCCCGCTCGTTTCACATGTTGGAGTAATTTCAGGGCCGAGACGAAAAAAGAAACCTCAATGACAGGCCCATGAGGCAGATTAGTAATTATGAGCCATATTTAGCACGGTTTTGAAACAAGAGGCATGAGCTCCTCTGGTCTCTCTTTCCCGTTGGAGCGGTTTGTTAGAGCTTGTGTGTTGGAGATTTAGTCCTGATTCACTTTTCATTTCAGTTCCTGTACCCTTCAAACAGAATTATCTCCTCCATCGCTGTATAGGCCCGCTTCCACTTCAACACTCTTCGTCATCCTCGTCACAACTTGTGCATCCGGATCACGAGGCTCTGCCTGAAAGGCCAAAGGCGTGTTCTGGGCACTGCGAGACTGGTCATTAAGGGCCGGGAGAAGGAGTTTGGTGGAGAGGAGGAGATATAAGAGCAGAGTGGTTAGGATTTCAAATTGAGACCACCTCAGTGGGCTGACCTCACCCCTCAGTTAGTTTGATCTTGGCTGATGCTGCTGGCTTTGTTCATTGTTCAGCAACACATTTTACCAGCTCTCATGTCCATTGAAGTGTCCTTTCTGTAGTCAGGACAGTGCTTTATTTGTATCTGAGGAATCAAGTGTCGGAGGGTACGTGCACTCGATAAAATGGCTTCCTGTTTGCCACTTGTGTCTGAAAGTAGGGGAGCTCCTGTGTAATTCATATGTAGGCTAAATGTCATCTGTGTCTGAGGAAAATATACGGCGGGTTGAGTGGTAGCTGGGGGAGAAAGTTCTTGGTAGGACAATCAAATCAGCTTCCGCAAGCATCCTAGGTTGATTTAACGCAAAACAATTAAGGCATCAAAAACACATTACTGCAGTTAATGTTGCCCGAGGCTGAGTCTATTTAAGGATGTTGATTGGCTTAATTGTACGTCACACATTTTTTTTATTTAATCAGCAATTGGCTAAAGTGCTTCTTAGACCCGCCTTCTGTGGGCAATCGTGAAATTCCCCCTTGCCTATAAGCAGAACGCGCATGAAGACGGGACGAGCGCGTGACAGGCCCGGACAAGCAGGAAAAGCATATGTTTTTGCGCAGATGTCATATTTTACAAATATAATAGGCCACATCGCGTTGAGTTTGGTAGAAACGGGGACAGACACTACTCATTTCACAGGTTTGCATGGCAGCACCAACTGTCACGCCCCCTTTTCTGCAAACACGGGAACTTTTTTTAGCTTGGCTCCTAATTGTAAGGAGACTGATGTGCCAACGTGCCAACGTTTTAACCGTGGGTGTAAAAAAGATGTGAGTGTGTGTGTGTGTGTGTGAAACTATGGCTTTGCCTCTACTCTGTAATTAGAGCGATGTGGGAGACGGGCACGGAGGGCAGCAGCAGTAACCTTGAGGAGTCTTCCTTCTGTGTGGTCGGGCTTTGAAATGACAATCCTTTGCGATGAAGTGAAATTAAACAAATTTACCTCAGTTATTTGCATATTACTTCTGTTTCTTTTAGTTCTCAGAAATCCCAAAAAGAGAAGTGGTTGTACTGTTACCGCCAGTCCTAAATGCTTCACGCCCTTGACAGTTTGTGATGAGCACAAATGTCGCCTGTTCCGGGCGAGGTGCTTCAACTCTTTCTGGCTGACTCATGAAGCTAAAATTCACGTGGAGTGTGGGTGAGAAGATTGGCGGTTTGGTCTCACCCTCGCCCGGCTGACCCGCATGTCTATGTGTCCGGTGGGCAAGAGACTTAATGCTCCTGTAGCTGTGACTACAGTGTGTGAATGCTGGGTATTGATGGGCAGGTGTCACTGTGTATTAAGGTAGCTGCTGTCATCAGTGTATGAATGGGTGTGAATGATGACATGAAGTTTTAAAGCCCTTTGAGTGATTGGAAGACTAGAGAAGCGCCACACAAGTACATCTACGCTTGAATGGCTGTTAGTCTGGCCCCTCCCTTGGGGCCACCGTCAAAATGTCTTCCATGGGAAAGGCTTCCCGGATTTCTTGTACACTACATTACATTACGTGTCATTTAGCGACGCTTTTATCCAAAGCGACTTCCAATGGGCGCAAGTAAGTTTCTTGTGTGATTCAGGACGATAAGAGCGGGGCCAAACAAAGTAAAGCTGGGGAAACACATGACACATAAATCAAAACAAATTCCTGTCCCGAGGAAGAAACAATGCAGGGCATCAAGTTTGGTTTCAGTTTTGATGTTTCTGTGAAAGCAGTTCTCCCTGATGCTGAACTCAACAAAGAGCACAACAGGAAGATGACAAAAAGACTAATCAGAGCTCTTGTAACAAATTAGTTTGTATTTGTTTTAGGGTTTGTCTGGTTGCACAGTGGGGATTAATTTGAATTGGATTAGATCGCCTGGGGAGCGTACAATAATTACAAATATTTTCTCACTGCCACTAAAGAAATAAGATGACCCATAATGAATTCAAACCTGTCTATAAAACAACTTCCCCATGCGTCACTCACTGCGCTGTGCTAACTATCTGTGAGCCCGTCCAGCCTGAAGGGTCACGATTAACTGCACATCGACCTAAAGGCCGCGGCACAATTCACCAGTGGAAGGACAATAGCTGGAAGGAAGAGCGGTTGTTGTGTCTTGTATCGCCTTCCAAAGTTTCAAATTCCCAAGAAACTATCGGGCGTCTGTTTCAGATTCACTTGTTGAAAGAAGTTTTTTTGGGGGCTATGGAAATTGGAACAGAGGCCAGAGCTCCTGTTGGGAATTCCCATTCGCAGCAACATGACGCCAGAACTTCCCGCATCTGTTAAAAACATTTTGCAGCATTATGTCCTTCTGTGGAGTCTTTGTTAAAATTCTGAATTCATCCAACAAACTTGCATCCCCTTGTGCTGCGGCGTGCAGATCAGAGAGGGATCCAAAGTTTCTGAAACTTACAAACACGTTGGTGTTTAAACTTATTTGGCCCCGGTGTAATACTGCCATGTGCCCACAAGATGGAAGAAACCACTTATTCTATTTTGTTTCAGCTCCACCACATGGAAACTATGAAAATAAAATAACGTTACTGTTATTTTTTGGACTAATGTCCTCAATACATCTGTACAAACAGACAATAAAATACATACAATATCCTGCATTTAATCATGCCTCCTCTATAGCTACACCAATCCCCACATGGGGCCATGTTGCAGGCGGAGTTTGTCCTTGTTTACTCCAAACACATGTTTCTGATAACATCTAAGTACTCCCCACAGTCTCCACCCTCGCTTTCTCATCTACTCCCTCCCTCTCTCTCCCCAACTCACTTCCTGTTGAATAGTAAATGTGCCTGTTTCGTTTGCGTACCGGCACAACAGAACGCTTGAGTGGAAAAACAGTCCTTTTCTTTATTTGGGGGAAGTGGGAGGAGATAAAGGCAGATGCACAGGTGGTGCATTTGTTTCAGGCTGAAGTGTGGCTGCCTGCTCACAGCCGTTCACTGGGACTGGTCCGACTGGTTTGATGCCTCCACACTAGCTGAGCTCTCCCAGAGATCTGGCTTCTTTTGTAGCGGGCAGACAGCGAGCAGCGGGTGAACCAGACACAGGAGCTGTGGAGAACGTTTGAGAGCCTCTCTGTACATTTCAACACTTGACCCAGAGAGGGAATCTCAACATGCCTGATGGAGGAGAAGACCAGTTTTACGGAAAGAATGGTAACTGCTCTTTGTGCTTTTAGTTTCCTGTTGATTCTCAACATCTTTCTTTTAATTCTGTACGACGAATGAACAGAGGATCCTCGGTCAACCCTCCGCTGTGTCCTGCTCACAGACTTTACAACGTGTCTGGATTGTGTTGAGAAAGTGTGTCAGTATCAGTCAACACGCAGTGTGGGAAGGAATGTGTGTGTGTGTGTGTGTGTGTGTGGGTGGGTGGAGAAGAGCGCGTCAGCAGCTCTGCTGGTTATACAGGTGTGTGAGAGCTGGAGGCTCTTTGATCTCTTTGCACAAATGTTACTGCGCCGTCGGGATAATCATTCCAGCGAGGCGGCTTTACTGCCGACGAATCCACGATTCATTCACTCGCTCCCACAGCTGCACTGTAACGGTTACACGGATGAGTCGTTCTTTCGTCGAGTCTCAATGCTCGCCTCCCCCTACGATATTAAAACGGGTCGAGCTTAAGTTTGAAAAGGTAAAATAAAAACTGACAGCGGCTTGGCACCATGTTTCTGAAACACAGGAGCCGTCCTCCATCTAAGCTCGTCCTATTAATGCTGGCTGCAGCATTATCCTCTGGTTCACTTGCATAATCAATCTGCATACTGCTCTTTAAGGACTCTAGATGTACACAGACCTGTGGACTGTGGTAGGGTGGGTTAGCTGGAGGTGCTTTGAGGGGGTTTAATTTCCTAAAAAAAACAGCCAGAAGCTTCCTGATCCTTTGAAGACAGTTATCAGAAGCAAGAGAGCATCAGTTTGACATCATAGATGTACGATTAAAAGTATGCCAAAATGATACCAATGATACCTAATAATAGTACAAATATTGCATCAATGCTTCTACCTAAATGAATGCAGACGGGACTGTCGAGTGGGTTTCTGCTTTGCCGTTTCCTTGGACGGAGTTGCTGTGAATGAAATAAAGTTAGCATGATTCAGCATTCCTTGGCTTTGGACCTGAATCTTGTCAGATCTCTGATTTAGTCGCTGTCAATCGGCCGTGTAGACTGTAGCCTCCGCTTAGTCACCGGAAAGGAATCTGTTGCGTTGCCAGGCGTGTCTGCCCGCAGGGGAACGTCCTCTGACAGAAGAATGGGAGGCAAAGGGGGGGGGGGGGGGGGGGGGGATACTGTTTCTTAGCCTTTTTTCATTTTGCCATCTAATGTTGCACACATGGTTGTACAGAGCTCACTGGGCCATTGCCCCAGTACCCCGTGACCCACCCACTTCTTCTGTTGTTCTGTGCAGGAGAGCCGAGGAAGTACGACGCCAACTTCAAGGGCCCGATCCAGAACCGGTGAGCGAGGCTCCGGACCTCCTGTCATCCACGCAGAGCTTCTGTTCGGCCCCTCACTCTTTGCTCTGTCCTCTCCAGGGGCTGCACGGACATCGTGTGCTGCATCCTCTTCGTTATCGCCATACTGGGCTACATCGCAGTGGGAATACTGGGTAAGAGAAAACCTCTAAAATAGGCCGAATCCCAAGGTTTTCTAACGCAAAGCGAGTTTGTAACCTGCGCTGCTGCGCTGCTGTGCTCCCAGCCTGGTCCCAGGGCGACCCCAGGAAGGTGATCTACCCCACCGACAGTCGAGGCCAGTTCTGCGGGCAGGCGGGGACCCCCCTGGCGTGAGTTGATCTGCTCTTAGTAATTCCCAAGGAAGTGCTGAATGGCAAACATTATTGCACTTACTTGCCCTAAATCGTCCCCGCTGTGGTTACACTTCAATGCGACCGCTTCACACCGATCACCGTAGGACGCATCGGCCTTTTTTCACTGCAAGGTCAGATCTCGCTCTCCTCGGTGTGCGATGAGCCGGACCGTGAACCGAGGTGTCCTGGCTGGCTGAACGGTCTCTTTTCACCACCAAAGCGAATCGGATCACTATCCAACAAGACGCGCGTGGATACACGGCACCGATCTGGAACATCTTATCTCAAAAGTCTCATTGGCGAGATCGCAAACTCTCAAAAAGATATTCTTAATGTTAAATGTTCTTTTCCTCCCCACATAGACAACTATGAAACCGTTCTATTCGTATGTCTATGGGTGCACATTCCTCATAAAGAGAAACGTTGCAGACAATGAGAATATTGGTCTGTAACTCCAAAAACGGAAATAAAGTGTTGGTCGTTGAAATCTACAGACTCCTGCACTTTTCCCCTGTCAGCGGTTTCTTCCTCTTACCATTTCTCTTGTGTATGTGTGTTAACAGCAACAAGCCACTTCTGTTCTACTTCAACATCATGAAGTGTGCCAGCCCCATGGTGCTGCTGGAGTTCCAGTGTCCCACCACGCAGGTGTGAACTCCTGTGTCCTTTTTGGGAAACCTTATTAGGGTGTAGTACGGATTCCATTCCCGCTGCTGCTGTTTACTCCTCTTCACCTCCACGCAGTTTTGAGTCCAGCATCCGAACTGTACTGTAAGTAAACGCTGCGTCCCCCTGGTCTTTTTTTCTTTTCTTTTTCAGATGTGTGTGGAGAAGTGCCCCGAAAAGTTCATGACGTTGGTGAAAGCCTACACCAACAATAATGACTTTGCCTACTACAAGAACTTCTGCAAGGAAGGCGTGACGAACACGATGGTGAGCTTAGAGCCGCGCCGTTGTTCGGTGCCTCCTTTCTTTACGTTCCACTGGCCTTCATGTCGGCTTGCTGTGTTTCAGGGTATTCCGCAAATCCTCAGCTTAGGGCTCTGTCCAGCCATGCTGACCCCCAGCAGACCATGTGAGTTGGATCCCAAAAAAATGTATTGGGAGGAATATTTGTTTTTGATTGTTTTTTTCTTCTCCGGTAAATGAAATCAACCGGCCTCGTTTCCCACTTCGACTTTTTCTTCAGTCACCCGCCGGTGTTTCCCAGCGTTGGGCCTGAAAGGAGGGGTGGTAACCGTGGGAAACAACTCTCACTTCGACGACGGCAGCGGAAACATGAGAGACGCCAAGGACCTGATGGACGGAGTCAAGTGAGTGCGTCGCTCTTGACCGGACACGCCGCGTTTATTTTTCCCAGACCCTCTACGAGGAACTCTGTAGCGCTCGACGGGAATTAAACACCCCGGAATCCCTCCGCAGGAACGCCACCTTGGTCATCGAGGCTCGCCAGGTGGTCATGAAAATCTTCGAGGACTACACGCAGTCCTGGTACTGGATCCTGATGTAAGTCAGCCGCCCACGTTGCTGCGTCTCCTTTGATCCGCTGTGCTCGTTCTCATCGATTCTCACGCGACGCCGTCGCCTCCTCGCAGAGGGCTGGTCATCGCGATGCTCACCAGCCTGCTCTTCATCGTCCTGCTGCGCTTCCTGGCGGGGATCATGGTTTGGATCATGATCGTCCTGGTGATACTGGTCGTAGGATACGGTAAGGTGCTTACTTACGGTCGGGGAGGAGGGGGGGGTTGGGGAGGGCGGTGTTCATCTTAGGTTTTAAAACTAGAAACAAGTCATCGAGTTCTTCGACTGCAATTATGTTACCCAATGTGTCCCAATCCCATACGGCGTACTTATTGTTTACCAGTTACTTCTCTCTAGTGTCCTTTTATTGGCTGTTGGTATTAAAAACCACAATATGCATTTATTTTTTCCGACGCAGCAGATTGCCCCCCCTGATATTTCTAATATTGTTCTGTCAACACGCAGAAGTTCTAAGCTTTTACAGAATCACACCAAGCTTCTTCCTCCTTTTTTGTGCATTGCATTGTGGGTTAGGGTTAATATGGGTTAGTATCTTATCAGCACGCTGATAAATTGGTGTCCCGCCCTCTGGGACTAATCTCCTTTTCTACTGTGAACAAACAACGCGCGCAGATCCAGCTCACAGTTGGAGTGTAGGAAAATATTGGTTCAAATCTCAAAGTGAAACGCATGTCTAGTGAGTGGAAAAGGAACATCATCAGTGGTTGAATAAAGAGCGAGGCCTCCATTTCTGTCTGAGATATATTTCCCCGGAAAATTGCAGTGTGAATAAGCGAAGAGAGTCGCTGTGGTTTTAAGTTGTATTTCAAATCCGGAAGTGATTCATCCCCTTCCTGGCTATTGTGAGTTTTTTTTTTTTAACACTGCACTGTTTGGATTTTGAAGTGGGCTGGTGGGAAGTACTTCTCCACAGTCTGTGTAGTCCAGTCTGTGTAGTCCAGTCTCTGTAGTCCAGTCTGTGTAGTCCATGTCGCAATCTGCACACCCCCAGTTTGGAGAAATGGATCAGGAGTTCCAGACCAGAAGTAAGTGTGCTGCTGCTGACTGGGGCAACGGTTGCTGTGAACTGGTGAAAGGAAATGGCATCAGGTTACTGCAGGTTACCTGGTAACTGGCAAAAAGTTGTGGAAGGGGAAAACTTCCCTTCTTAACCCGCCGTGCAGTCCGTCAGGCTTACTCCTGATTTTTAAAATTCCATTTCTATATTGCGCGCCTTGTTGCAAGCTGCTTCCAGTCTCTTTTTTCTAAATGGTGTGCTTGCTCCTCAGGTATCTTCCACTGCTACATGGAGTACGCCGCCCTGAAGGGAGAGGCGGGCGCCAATGTGACCCTCCAGGACCTGGGCTTCCAGACGGACTTTGCGGTCTACCTGCAGATCCGACAGACCTGGCTGGCCTTCAGTGCGTACTCCACTCGTCCAGAGATCCTGACTCATTGCCGGGAAATTAGAGAGACACCCACCTGAATTCTTCCCCTCCTCCCTCTACTCTCCTTTTCTAGTGATCATCCTGGCCATCGTGGAGGTCATCATCATCCTCTTGCTCATCTTCCTCAGGAAGAGGATCCTCATCGCCATCGCTCTCATCAAAGAAGCCAGCAGGTCAGACCTGGCCGGATGGGACATGTAGCTTCATTAACTCGCATTGATGAAAGCCAGACGCAGCTGATGAGGTAATCATACTATACATATATGTACATTGTGTTCAATTGGATGTGATGTTGTGTTCACAGAGCCGTCGCTCATGTGATGAGTTCCCTTTTCTACCCTCTGTTCACGTTCGTCCTCCTGGCCATGGTCATCGCCTACTGGGCCGTTACCGCCGTGTATCCTGAACCTGAACTTTGATGCATACGACGTATGCGACTCAGAGGGTTTAGCAACGTTATGGACGATACGTTGTTGCCTAGAGAAGTATAGTTGTGTTAACTGGCAGATCCGTATGTGTGCACCTGATTTGTTTCGGTTGTTGTCCTTAATAGAACCAAATCAGCTTCTTGTCTACCTCCAATGAACCCATCTACAAAGTTTTTAATGAGACCGCATGCGACCACTCGAGAACAACCTGCGACCCAGCAGTAAGTTTTATCACCTCTTAATCTGATTACATATTTATGTTTGATCCTGCAGAAAGCTTGTCTTTATTTTTTTTTTAAATGTACTGCTGTTCAACATAACTGTTGATAGGTTATCTGCATATTGACCTTTTTGAACCACTATTCTTCCCATTGGATTTTCCCTTTTTATCTTGGCATCGCCTCAGACCTGTTCTCTTATCGAGTGAAGGGTTTCTCTGTCGCGTTTATTAGAAATCTCATGGCTCCTCAGTGTGCCTACGAGGTCTCTCCATAACCTGCATCTATTCCCAGAACTACTCCACCAGTATCGAAAAAGCGCAGTGCCCCGACTCTCAGTGCCTTTTCGCCTTCTACGGCGGAGAGACCCCCTACCACAAATACCTGATCGGCCTGCAGTTCTACAACGTCTTCCTCTTCTTCTGGTGCGCCAACTTCGTCACGGCTCTGGGACAAATGACCCTGGCCGGGGCCTTCGCCTCGTACTACTGGGCCACGGTCAAGCCGGACGACATGCCTGCCTTCCCAGTCTTTTCTTCCCTGGGGAGATCTCTCAGGTTTGCGTGTGTGTGTGTGTGGAGGAGATTTCAGCACAACCGCACACCTGGCGTTTGTAGTATAACGCTACCTTGTGTCCTGTTAAAGGTATCACACGGGAACTCTGGCGTTCGGATCCCTCATCCTCTCAATCGTTCAGATCATCAGGGTTCTGCTGGAGTATCTGGACCACAAGCTCAAAGGTCTGGCGCTGCTCAAGGTCCACGTGTTGAATGGCGTTCAGACCTGAATCCACAAAATATATATCCACAAAAATATCTCTTAAAATATCACTTAACCTTTCAATCTCCGTCCCACTCGCAGGAGCCCAGAATAAGTTCACCAAGTTCCTGTTGTGCTGCTTGAAGTGCTGCTTCTGGTGTCTGGAGAAAATCATCAAGTTCCTAAACAGGAACGCCTACATCATGGTGGGTGGTTGAGGTCGCTGCACTCGTCCCTTCAATATAGACCCTCACACGTGTTATCTGAGTGTAATGAGTGCACTCGGCCTCCAGGTGGCGATCTACGGCAAAAGCTTTTGCACCTCTGCCAGAGATGCCTTCCTCCTCCTCATGAGGAACATGATCAGGTGAGTTTCCACGGGGTTTGGGAGTTGTCTTTTTTTTGTTTTGTTTGGAAGCATTTGATTTCATTAAATGGAAGTGTCCCTTTTTGAAAGTAAGCGATCCTCTTTCCTCCCTCAGGGTGGCCGTCTTGGACAAAGTGACGGATTTCCTCTTGTTTTTGGGCAAATTGCTCATTGTTGGGCTTGTGGGTGAGTCAGTTTTTATTTCTTCATTCTTGTATAATTCATTGGGTAAACGCAGTATTTTAGTTTAGAGAAAAGGGCATGCATCACAACCAAAGGGGGGCTGAAATGGGCTTCCACAGACGTCAATGCAAAATACAACTCATAAATTACGCATGTTGTCATAATGAGCTTATTTACATTTGCTAATTGGAAATAAGAAGTGTTATTATACATCTCAATAGAATAAAAGCACAATACAAACACAATGCGTCTGAATGGATTTTCCATAGACTTTCATCAGTTATGTAAATTATGCAAATGTTGATCTTTGTGTTGTTTACAGACTGTGGCTTGAATATAGACAAAATACAGTGGAGGTCAATGGGTTCTTCTGGTCCTCTCTTCCACAGGGATCTTTGCCTTCTTCTTCTTCTCCGGGAGAGTGAAGGCCTTTGAGAATACAGCCCCGCATCTCAACTACTACTGGGTACCCATCCTGGTGAGTGGGCTGCCCCCCCTGCAAGGGGGCACGGTAGTGAACATAACAGGATTGGCGTGTAATTCTGCTCCCCTTGCTTTCTTTTTGATCCCGATCCATGTGTGACTTGTGGCTCTTCTTGTCCCCACCAGACTGTAGTCGTTGGCTCCTACCTCATTGCCCACGGATTCTTCAGCGTGTACGCCATGTGCGTGGACACCCTCTTCCTGTGCTTCTGTAAGTAACCGTGCCTAAATGTCTCTATTCTAGATTATCCAGGTTGGCACAGACGCCACGTGAGTGACATCGACATTGAGAGAAAACAGAAAATGCCTCCGATTTATAAAATGGAAAACTTGTTGGTTACCAGCAGAAAACTTTCCTCACTTCTTCAAATCTCCCACTGCTTTTGGTGTTGGGCTGTCGATGCATGAATACGGTGTACCAGAAAAAATAACCAGTATATTAATCTGAAGGTTTGGGCTGCTTGGTGTTCCTCTGTTAACTTGCCTGTTGCTTGCTTGCTATTTGACTTTCTCTTTTTTGTCTCCTTTTTCTTTCCACTCTCTGCAATTCCCTCAACATCCCTTTCTCTTTCCTACTGGCTCTGCTAAACATTTTTACCTTATTTTTACCTTGATTTCAATACTAATTTTCTGTTCCATCCATTAACACGGACAAATACACACGCACACAATAAGGTGAAGACCTGGAGCGCAATGACGGTTCAGCTGCAAAGCCTTATTACATGTCCTCAACCCTCCGCGAGATTCTGTGGAAAAAGGCGGCCGAGGATCCGTCTCCGTCTTCAGCTCGCCTACAGGACGACGGCGACCTGAAGCAGCGGGCTCTGGAGGAGGAGGAGGCGGCTTAGAGAAGACGATTGCTGTGGGAATACACATCAGGCATCGCAAACCTGCACCCTGCAGCACTTTTTGTAGCTGTTTCTAGTAACAGATCAGGGTAGTAAGAAGGCCTCACACTTAACCCACTCATCACAGGGTCAGATTGAAGTGCAGCGACGCAACAACGTGCCTTTTTTAACACTGAGATTCAGCGTTTCCCTTCGTCACAGTTGAGTTGTACATTTTTTTCTTTCACCTTTTCGTTTCCGCACAAGGAAACATGAAAAACATGATGATTTCATAATTGACCCTTTGCTAAAGTCCTCCCTCGATCGTCCAATCCTTGCTAAGCAACCTTGACAGTCGACACAAACGGTGCAAAAGTTGCTTCAGGAGTTTGGAAAGAAGTGTTTTTGTGTTGAATTTAAGAAATTAACTTTAAGGGTTCTTCTGACAATGCCGACCTACTTATCGCTTAGCTCCGCTGTAATTTGATGGCGTCTTCCTCGGCCATTCCACCAAGTTGGATGGAAATCAGTGTTATTGGTTTTTCCTGTAATCCTGCTGTAAAATGACAAACTGATCAAAACAAACCCAAAATGTAAACTCCTTGATGGAGGTTATAATCCCAGTCAGATCAACGGTTTATGGAAGGGATTGAGCTCTGTTTAGCATGTTGTGCTAACTAGCGTATAGCCTGTAGTAGTTACCCGCTACAAATCGACTCAATCTGTAGCGCCAAATCTGACTGAGTAAAAAGAAAAAGGCTGTTTGTGACACTACTATTAGTGTAGTATTTCCTGGATGCTACATCAGAAACTAAGCTAACTCTTCATTATTATAGTATTCATAGTCATTATTCTAGATAGCATGTTCACAAAACAAATAAGATGTCCTCTTCCGATTGTTAAAACTAATTAAAAATACCAGCTTGTATCAATGCTGGCAATAAAGCCTAATTTCTGTAGTTTGTCTGCAACCCGAACTGCTCAGATCAGGATAACTGGAAGATATTATGACGCATGCAATATTAACAGTATGTTGGGTGGTAAAACGTTGTAAACAACTGTATGACAGTGACATTTCACCTAATATTTCTAAGTACATTCATTTTTCCCTGCCTTGGGAAATGAAACTTGAAGCCGTTCATGTGCCTGATTTACAGGGTTGACACAGGTCTGTTTGTACCTTTTTTAGAGGTCATCTGATTGTTTTAGTGTATCCAATTGGAAACCACGTGATAATCGGTATGAAGTTCGGCACCATCAATGCACTTTCAATTCTGTTCAACCCCTTTTTCTGTTGCAATGAATATTGGGGATTTTCTCGAGGCTCGCTGCTTTGCCGTCTCGTGTGTTGTATGTTTTTCCAGAACATGTAGCTTTTCATTCAGTGCGTCTTTACAAAGGATTGTGTATTTGGCAGTAAAGTTTATTAAATGGCATCGGAGGCAAAGGCAACTAAGTAATTAAAACTCTTTAAATGGATTAACGCACTTGGTGATTGTCTTAACTATTAATCAAAGATTTGTGCTCATTTAAATGAGAATCAAACATGGATTTAGTAATTATGTTTTTCTTGTTCATGTGCTGGTCTCTGTGGCTCTAACAACCTCTGGTACTAAACCTCCTCTTGATTTTGGTTCCAGTGGAGGATCTAGAAAGGAACGATGGGAGTGCGGAGAGGCCCTACTTAATGCCCGAGAGCCTCCGCAAAGTCCTGAACAAGAAGAACAAGCCGGCTAGCTAGAGCCTCTCCTCCGTGAGGCCGGACGCAAAGCAACCGCCATCAGTCACCAGCGGGCCTCTAAATCTCCGTTTTGATAGTAGTTGTAAATTTAAGAAAACATTTAATTGTATTTTTATTTGCTTTAATTTTAGCATGTTTTATGAAATATTTTGTTACATTAGGATTAGCTCATGCAACCTGCTAAAGTTATTCAATATATCTTTGCACTTTTATAACTGTAATCTTTGTATTTTAATACATATCCAACCATGTTACCAAAGCCACTTCACTGCCACTCGTGCATAGTGGTCATTTAAATCTACTATTGCGTTTTATCCGTTAGCCTAAGGAGAGAACTGTGGAGTTAAATTGTTTCTGATAATTTGAAATAAACTTTTTTTTATGTAATTGTATCGCTTCCTTTTTAGAATACATTATGCATTTTCCTACCAAAAGCCCTAAACTCTGTCTGCTTGGGTTTCATTTCATTCCTCCATATGGGCTTCTCCACGTTGCCACAGGATCCTCTTTTTGGAGCACAGTCAGACAGGAAGTCTGTATAACTCCAATGAATCTTGACTGTGATCTTTTTTTTTAACATCTTTTCATTGATTTTACAAAATATTCCACACAGAAAAAGAGAATAATATGGCTACCACAAAAGGGATTGAGCTCAAACTTTTTGACCTGAATTAAGAAATCTTAAACTGTTGTGAACGAGCTGCCGTGTAAAGACGGAAATAAAATGCCGTCATGTAAGTAAGATAAATAACGTGGAGCTATTTACAATTACTTCTACAAAGTAATTATTGAATGAACACGAATGCGCTGGCAGTGGCAAATAGCTTTGGTTTTATATTATTTAATTCTTAAGCGAAGATCTACAATAAATATTTGAACTGCTAAAGGGAATATCGCTGTTAAAAAGCACTCATTGTAATCGTTGCCCAGCACTAGTCTTAACAAAAAGTGACCGGCCTGATTATTTTATTAAAACAATTATTTTTAGCACATTCCATTTTTTTACACAGGTACACACTTTGGGTGAGCACAACTTTATTTGTACAGCGCCTCTCAAAGCAAAGGTACAAAGTGCTTTCCAATAAAAAACAACTACAAAGCTAAAGGCACCTTTCGAGATATAAAAATGACATTTACGATGATTCCCGAGCTGTGACCTATGACACGCGTAACGCAGCTGTAAAGCTGCTGTTCTGCTATAGCCCATGAGGTGGAGTGTGTAACCTATGCAACGTCTTCACAGCAGCAGAGGAAGTCCATGTGTTTATGCGCGCTCACTGACGCCATGTCGATATGTTCGTCCGGAGCGTTGGAGATTATAAACTACCGAATAGGTGACACCAAATGTGTAAGAACAGTGACATGTAATATGCCGTTTGTGTCGTGCACCAGTTCAACCTCTGCGACGTACCAAAAGCCAACAGTAGGCCGCTGAATCGATGCATTTACCAAAACCACTATTGACTCTATTGACACAATTAAAAAATTATTTTAATTACTATTATTTTTCCATGTGGTAGAACTCACTTTATTTGTGTAGCTTTACAATGGGAAAGAAAGTAGAGGTTCAGTTGAGCTTTTCCATCTTATTGTGCCCCCCCCTCCCCAGTTCATTGAGCGGCCACTTTTTTGAACCTTTCGCACCCAAACTTCCCATCGACGCAGTAAAGGCTTGCAGCTTGCAGTCAGGCCGAGCCATTATTCGCCGGCCGAGTCACCAAAGATGTGGTTTTCTCTGTGGCTTTGTGTCAGAGGAGCCAAGTTGTTAACAAAGTTTCTTTGTCTCCAGTGTGAGGGTCTGAGTCATTAAGCAGGCGTGGCGGAGTTCTTGAGAGTGGCCTGCTATGCACTTGATATGTGCCCACTGTGGCCCTGGGAGTCCTGCATAATAGTGTGAAACCGCCTTTTGGTGATACCTCGGTGTGTTTACATTTCCAGCATTTTTATGATAGAGCAAGGTTGGTTTGGTCTGAGTCACATTTAACCACTTTTCATAAAAGCAACGCCCTGATCACATTCACACAGTCCGTGTTGAGTAGTTGGGGGTTAAGCGCTTTGCCCATGGGCATGAACGCGGGATTGGAGAACACATGGTCATGTTTTGCCTGAAGGCGAGCCACTGTCATGAGTCTCATGAACTCTCAGAGTTTCAAAAGGCATTTGTCTCTATCTCCGTGTTGATGAAAAAAACAGTCTGTCTGCATTCCTCGCCACTTCTGTAACCACGGTGCGTCAGTCCTCAACTGAAGTCTTTGAATTCCTAAAGAGACTAAAATCTCCAAATTGTTGCACATTTTGTAGGTTGTATTCCTCTGTGGAGAGACCTCATTGACCACACTCCGTGAGAGAAATAATACACTATTTGGCCAAATCGTCAAAGTTTACATTACACTACATTACATTACATTACTTTTATCCAAAGCGACTTACAATAAGTGCATTCAACCATAGGGATACAAAGTTAGAAGAGCAAGAAACAAGAAAGTGCAATTTCCTCAAATAAGCCAATTTACAATTTGCTGAAGATAAGTGGCGTTATAAGTACAATTTAAGTGCTACAATTAGTTAGTCTTTTAGTGGAGGTAGAGTCTGAAGAGGTGTGTCTTTAGTTTGCGGTGGAAGATGTGAAGGCTCTCTGCGGTGTCATCAGAGAGCTCGTTCCACCATTTCAGCTTGTAGTAGACGGCATGCACGGGTTAGGATTGGGTCATACAGTGAAATGCCTGCAGATTTGAATACTGTGGAGCATATTTTTTTAGCTAAGCCAGCAGCAAGGCCTTTGGGAGTTGAGTGGTCAACCACATCACAATACCTCAACAATCAAATGTTGAGATTTATGGTCCACAAAGGATAAATACAACTGACCTTGGTGATCCCCTGAGATTCCGCAGGCGTCACCATGATGCTTTTTTATTTTTGTTACATTGAACTATTGTATAAAAGTCTTACGCCAGGTAAACAGGACGCTAAGCGCAGCGTAACGATGGGTCTCCCTCTCTACCTGACTCCCAAGAATGTCCAGTGCTGCAGCCCCACGGCACCCACCACATTTATTGACAGGTCAAACACATACATGTTGGATGCATCATTCATGTTAATAATATTTTCCAGCTTTGACTTATCAAAACAGAAGCTATTCAATTAAATCCCATACAATTTGGTAGATCCACCCTTCCCCTGAGGGTCAGCCGCCATGAATAGCAATGCTCAGCTTTGGATCGCGGCCAAAGACCTGCGAAATTAATGGCACACCCATCAGCCACAGTTATGTGTAACCGGCAGTGAAAAGTTCCTCCTGACCCGCCGTGGTGCTGGGTAGACCAAACCCCCGTCTTACTTCCTGGCAGCCAATTAGTGTCCTCCATCGTATTAGCCACACCTGAGCTGTGCTCTTCCTCCCCTCTGATTCCCAGTCTTCATTTAATTCGTCTCTCTTTCACACCATAAATGTGAACTGGCCTTGTTATGCTTTGTGTTTTATTGGTAATTGGCTAATGTTAGCATGCTAACGTGTTGAACGAAGAGCTGTGAATACGGTGAACAAAACCCGTGCATGTTGGGATTGTCATTGATCCAGTTTGCATTTAGCTCTTAGCAGTGCTGAAGAAAGCCTCACCGAGACGTTTGCCAATCTGTAATGGTTCTCCCTCAACTCCGCTGACAACGTGACACCGATCTGAAAAAAAGACTATTGTCTCTTCTCTGAGCTGTAAAAGCTTCATAATACCACAATATAAAACTCCTCGGGAAATGACCTTCAATAGAACTGAACAGAATTTATTTGATACGTCTCTATTCAGATGACATATTAGCCGGTGGTGTCAGAGCTGACTGTCAACAAAGACACGCACTCGAGGGGATGAACCACTCCAAATGACATCAGACGGTTCACGTTCACGCCTACTGTTACTGACCGAATGACGGAAACTAAAGATTTCAGGTGAAAATGAAAATGAACTTACGTCATTTGTGTCGGCGCATTTGTGTCGGTGGACCCACGTGTGGCCGAGTGGTCCAGCAGTTCCCTGGCGAGCCGAGGACATCTATGTTCTATTGAATTAGCCTTCAAGTAAAATGTTGGCAATATGCTTGTTGCATTCGTGTGGGGAGCCGTGACGTTGCCCCGCTCAGGAAAGAGCAGCCGTTTTTCATAGATCAAACTTGTTTTCACTTTCTTGGAGCATTCACACTTTCAGCGGATGCCTTCACACAAAACCACTTTAGGAAAGCAGTCACACGTCCTCTGGGCCAATTTAAAAACTCAATGTATTTCTCTTTTTGCAAGAGCATGTATGTTTGAGCTTTAACGTGCAGGATTTCTTCACCCACTGAAGAAGGAAAGTTTCACCATGCTCAGTTCACCAGTTCAGGACATGCACCGACAAGCAGGATTTTCCATTCTGTGAATGGACTCTTCAGCTATGAAAGAGACATCTAGTGTCAACACACCTGTGGAGGTGATGGTGATAAACATATCTGTTTTGTAATGATATGTTTAAATAGAGAAACGAGTGGTTGGCAAAGAGCCTACCTCTCAAATGTCACTAACTGCCTCCGTGCTTTATGCTAAGCTAAGATAAATGGCTGCTGCTTGCTCTATTCTTATAACATGCAAATATGAGGGTAGAATCATCTCATCCTACTCTGTACATTCCCAGCAGCTTTGACACCTGACACAAAACACGGTGCTTCAGGAATGAGTCTGAAAAGCCCGGAAATGAGACAGCATTTTTGCACTGCTGGTTTGTCTCAAGTTTTTTTTTAAATGTTTGTTTAGATGCATGAAAATCCTTTTTTCCTACGCCACTTAATACTTAAAAATACCCTGAATTTTTCAGCTTCTAAAAAAAAGACTTATCTTAGACTTAAGACTTAAGTTGCTAAATCAAACTACAGTATATTGTCACACTTGCGGTGGCTTTTTACAGTCTCACTGCACTATAGCCATGTCTGCACTTTCATCGCTTGTACAATGTCGCTGTTGTACACACATATACATATATATTTATATTGTATTGTTAGATACAATATTCATTCCTCACGCCTCCTATCACGCCTCCTCTCACGCCCCCTCTGACGCCTTCTCTGATGCCTCCTATCACGCCCCCTCTGATGCCTCCTCTGACGCCTCCTATCACGCCCCCTCTGACGCCCCCTCTGATGCCTCCTATCACGCCCCCTCTGACGCCTCCTCTGGCGCCTCCCGCAGCGGAGATCCGCCTCCCGACATGAAGCCTGGTGGGTTTTACTCGGCGTGTCCTCGGCCAGCAGGAAGGAGCGCAAACCTGTCGGAGGAGTTCACACCTGGGACACAGGACGCGTCTCGTGGGATCCAGCGCCGCACTTTTCTATGCGCGCGTGACAATGTAGCGATCTCTTTGCAGCAAACGTCTTCTTTTAGGATCGGAATACAGAATGTAGTTTATTCCAGGACACCCCAAAACGGCTTTTGTGATTTTCAAGATGCAGCCATAAACTGTTTTTCGAGGTGAAGGAGTTTATTTTTTTTCAGTCCAACTCTTCGTGCCGAGATGGAAAGCAGCGCACCTTGAGCGACCGGACGAGATGGGAAAATGGGAGCTGACAATGGTGAGACAAATGCCAGATGTGAATAAAGTGATCAAGAAATGAAAACAGCTAAATAGGAGAGATTTCTTTAGAGCCAATCGTGGCTGCTCAGGTGTTCATCAGGTGTTCATGGAAGTCGTCTCTCTGTAATGGAATAGAGGCAAATTTTGTGATTTAATATATGAAGTCTGACCGTTGAATCCTACTCTTCATGTTTAAATACCCATTTTCAATTTCTAATATCATTCAATTCAATTTGAGTGGGAATCAGCTGGTTGCCCTCCAGCTGCTGAAGGTCTAACCTCAGTTTGCTCCTCTCATGCATGATCATTACATTAAGACAAACTTGAAGTAATCTGGTGCACATCAACAACACAAATATCCTCAGTTCAATTCTCAGGTTTGCAATAATATTTGCTGTCATGAATGCTGCAGAGGCAAACCACATCTCCTTTGGTATGTTTTCAGATTTTAGAGTTGGCTACCAGTAGCGCTTGGTACCGCCATCGCTAGACACAATGCACAGTTACACATCTGTGTTGCTAACAAACAAGCTCTTGTGTGATACCGGTCGGCACCGGCAGACACTTTTCTCCTTGCTCAAAGTAATTTAATCATTTACGTGTGAGGACTCAATCCTCACATCAGGATGACAGACTTTACATAACCGTTGTTAGTGCAAGGAGCTTCTCTCATCTCCTTCTCAGTATTAACAGCTTGCACATATTGCCCAGGAGGTGTTTAATCTTATGGAATAATTCAGATGTAACAGCTCAAAATATATATGGTCCACATCCACTTGTTTCACTCCAGGTTATGTATATTTTCTGTGAATTATTTGGATGTTAATTACTGGAGTCATGTGAGCGCGTCATTGACTCCAGGTATTATTATGTTATGACGCATACAGCATTTAAAGGCACCCAAACAGATTTCACTCATTTAGTTTCGATTAGTTGTTGTGAAAACACCAGTGAGGAAATACAGCCCAGATGATGTCACGTGATGTCATCAGGGTACCTCTTTTAAGCGCTTTGGGATTTAAAGGTTTTAAAGACGTGGTCCAGGCAGGCTGAGAGACAATCAAATCAGATACGTTTTTTTCTTTGCGTCGTACATTTATTTTCAAACCGTATGTGCTGTTTGAGATGGGAAAATACAAAAATATTTTCGGCAGAATTTAGAGAATTGCAATTTTGTCACTCGGACTATCACCATTTTTACACACATGAAAAACAAGGAAAAGGTTCTCCAGGGTTCAGTATTTTGAGGCATGTAACAACCGCTTTCACAGACGTATTCATGTTTCTAGGAATCAGTCCGAATCGCTGTTTCGACATGGCAAGAAATATGACCTTGACTTATTTACAATATTTCAAGTGCCCCTGAAATGGGTCAGAAAGGATTAAGTATTACGTCTGCTTGTGCGTTTCAATCACTCACACATACGTTGTGCAGCATTTTGTCTGTGCCCCTACCAACCTCTACTGGAGGAGAAACATGTTGGAAGATATTGAACTCAAAAAATGGCTTCCTACCTTACAAATGTGGGGGCAGGGGAGGGGGGGGACTACAATTCTCAAAATTGATTTAATGATGGTAAAAATGGCACCTATAGACATCTTTTTAAGCTTGAGTATCTAGTTCCCCTTTAATTTTGTTTTGATCAAAGGTCAAGACAAACACATTTGAAAGAGACACGTTTCAATTGTGTTTCCTTGCTTGCTTTGTCAGCAGTGACACATAATGATGCAGCTGGTGTTCAGTCTCCACAAACTATGTGTCACAGCTGTCGGGGCGGTATACATCCTATAATCCGGGCGCCTGAACGAGGCACTTGGTGACCCCCTGGCCACCCCTCCCCTCTCGTGTTAAGTGCTGCTCAGCATTCTGGAGGAGCCACTGCTCCAACACTGATTGACAGCTCTCGCTGGGATCAAACACAGTTTGTCTGAAAGAATGGAACTGTGTGTTTGAACGACAGCGCGACACTTTCTGTTCCTGCACCCTATACAATCCTCCGAGGCTCCCTTTTTTAATTAGAGGACAATTGACGTCGAAAGGAACTTGCTGACACTTGCTTTTGTCGAGGTATTTTCGCTTGGGCGTTCCATTCCATGGAACCTTTCAGTAGTTCTGTATACTTCGGGGAAAATCTCTGTGTAGCAGGGTAATTTGTATCTGATGATTATTATGGATTCATCAGACACTAAAATGTTTTAGGGGCAGTCGTTGTAGGCCCTGGATGGTGGTTAATCATTATAGCTCACATGGGCTTAGTGTGTCTCAGTGGGATACCATGTCACTTGTTTGTGTTGGCTTACCTCGCTGTTTCTCTAACGTCTTACGGCACAACCTTTGACCCGACTGTTTTGACCGATAACAATCCCAGGTATAAATATATATGTATGTTTATTTTACCCGTAGCTGTATCATTTTAGGACACAAACAGGGCAGTGATTGACAGCCGCACACCTTTATTTCTCACCTCTGCCATTCCCAGAACCCAGTGCAGGAGTGGGGAGAGGAGTTTGAGGACGGCGCGGTATATGGGGTCACCCTGCTCCGGGAGCCCGTCCCTTCCTCCCCCGACCCCAGTGAGGAGAGTGCGTGCTGCGCCTTCGTGCAGTACCGAACCTGCAAGGTGCGGCGTCTGAAGGCGGCTACCCTTGAGCTCCTGGTAAACCACCTCCTCGGCCCCGGCACTCAGGAGCAGGACTACAGCAGGATCTTCCTTTCCACGTACAGAACCTTCACCGGTACCTCGAAGCTTATAGAGCTCCTGTTCCAGAGGTACCATTACCCTTTTTGGTCTTTGTGGAAAATACACTTGCCGAGAGTGAGATAAAGAGGTTGATAGCAATTGTATGCAGCGGAGTATCCATTGTTTTGGGGTTAGGGGTTTAATGCGTATTTCCCAAAATGTCTTATTATGGCTTTAATGGCCAGATGAGACATTTCATGTCAATTATCCCTCATTAAAATTTGGAATTTACCATCACTCTTTGTCAGTTGCTCTACCATTCATCTTTTACTCACTACCAAATGCTAGCAGTTTAGCATAGCTTAGCCTCCTTCTCTGATTTGTTCCCTGCTCAGAGAGTTCAGACTCCTTTTCAAACGTGGTGAACAGCCGTCCGCGTTGTGCTCGAGTCTGGGAAAATGACTTGGGTTTGTTGCACATGCATCTGGATCTTTTTATACATTGTTTCCCTGACAAGGCAACCATCTCTTGCCTGCTTTGAAGTTGTAATAAGCACCTTGCAGGTAGTCATTATTCTGAGGCTTTCAACAACAATAATTATGCACACAGCAGTTTTAGACTGTGGTTTGCATGTACTGGGATCAGGCTCACGATGACTCCAATAATTCTTTAAAACATTTTTTTCTTCTTCTCCAAATAGAGACAACATTGTCTCCGATCTGGACAACAGTGAATCCTACACGAGGTATGTAGAGGCCATTTGAGTTAAGAGTACCCTTGAGCCCATATCCATTTGATATTGTTATTATTATGAATATGTCACTCTGGGATTACAGATTTGTTTGAAAAGTTACACTGTAATAATTCTTCTGCTGCCTCCTCAGCCCTCTGTTGGCCTTTGTCCAGACATGGTTGGATGACTACTGTGAGGACTTCAGGGATCCTCCTTTGCACCCGGCACTCAGGCTGCTGTTGGACCACCTTAGGATCAGCTCCGCAGTTTACAACAATATGCGCAGTCAGCCCAACTTTAGCTCCTTGGCTGGGCAAGCTGAGGAACTGCTCAAGAGGTTACAGATAGAAGGTGACCCTACTTATGAGGCCAACGTGCCATTGTGTCAAGTTGTTCTGCAAAAAAACAGCCTAATCCTTTTCTTGATCTGTGTTTTATCAGCAGAAGTTGAGAAAAATGTCCGTCCTGCACAGCAAGACATGGAGCAAGATGAGGAGGTTACTGATGATGAGGATTCAGGATTGGAAGTCTCTCATGATCCAGGAGGCATCTTGGATTTCCCTGCATTAGCCATTGCTGAACAGCTTACCCGAAAGGACTCTGTACGTGGTAGAATCTATTGTTCAAAATGTCTATTGTTTAACATGGATGATTTAAGGCAGCTAACTGGGTTTCATGCCGTTTTAGGCTCTGTTTGTCAAAGTGATGCCATACCAGTGTCTGGGCTGTGTGTGGTCAAAAAGAGACAAGAAGGAAAACATGTCGCCAACCATACGAGCCACCGTTACACAATTCAACGACGTCACCAAGCAGGTCACCATGTCCCTTCTCTGCCAGCCGGCAGACGCAACCTCCAGCCCCACCTCCTCCCGCCGGCCTCCCACTACACCCGCTCACAGGGCTCGCATCATAGAGAAGTGGATCTGTGTAGCCCAGGTCAGTCTGAATCCTTTATAGAAGGAGAATGATGATAAACACAAAGCAAGAGTACTATTATTATTGGATTTGAAGTGAATCCTCTGAATGCAAGTTGCTTCCTCTGCAGGATTGTCGTCGGTTGAAGAACTTCTCCTCTCTCAAGGCGATCCTGTCGGCCCTTCAGTCTAACGCAGTTTACAGGCTGAGGAAGACCTGGGCTGCTGTCAGCAGGTAGGGTTGAATAACGGCCATTTCACAGGCAACTTTTGTCCGTCTCTATGGTTACGTTCATATTCTTGCTTTCAATGCAGACTTTGAACCCTCATCAAGGGCAATTTGAAGTTGCTAAGCAAGTTTTGCTGAGCAAGTTTTGCTGACATTGGGTGATGGACACGTAGTAAGCCATTATAATGTCAAGCGTAACCGAAGCATAACTTCATGTTGTTCTCTTTGTGGTGTAAACAGCTGGCCGAGGACCAACCACTGCTGTATAATAGTTGATTATTAAAGTACCTGTTTCTTCACTAAGCTGCTACATATTTACTACATATTGCCTCTGCTCTTGTTGTAGGGATAGCATAGCCGTGTTTGATAACCTCTGGCAAACCTTCCCTGATGAGAACTGTGTTCTGACCAACAGAGAGCTCCTGGTGGAGGTGAGAAGGAAAACTGACTAGGTTTACTCCTGTGCTAACAGTCACTGTGCTCACATGGGCATGAATAACCCCTTTGTAATTGGGTTATTTATGGCCACCTATACCCAATTTCACATAAGTGAGTCAAAAAATAAGCTGTAATAAAATCAAGGCGTGTAGTTCAGAACTGTTCTCAAAATATTGATATTCATACCAATTCATCATTTATAATTGTATATACTTGTGAATTATATGGACTATACTGCTTATTTACTACACAGCAACGCTCTAATGCTTTTTGGTAGTAATTAGTTAATCTATAAAGCAGAGGAAGCTAACTTACTCGCCAACACTCCATCCACAACAACGGTAATGTTAGCTAAACAAGCTAATATTTGCTATTATTAGTTTTATTAAGGTAGTTTCATTTTGACTGCAGGATGCTTCAATAGAGATCTGAGCAATTAGAGTTGCTAAGTTATGCTACTTACCTACTAAGCTTGCTAACCTACTTGTTTTTGGCACTTTATCCACAATAACCTGTCGATTAGCAAGCCAATGTTAGCCAGCTAAAAAGTAAAGTAAGCTAATATAGTTGCAAACAACCCAACCTACAACAAGCAAAAAATGATCTGCTACGCTTAAATGATTTGACTTGATTTTGATTATGATAGGAGGATGCTTCTAATTGTCTAAGATTCCCTTCAAGTTAAGCTACTTAGCTAGCTAATCTACCCGAAGAGGCGTCCTCAACTGATAATTGCATTTCAGTTGCAATCAAATATTATCCAGCTATAAAGTCGAGTAATTGGATTATAATAGGAAAACCTATTTCACATAATTTTAAAAAATAACTTTAGAATTAGTAACATCTTTTGGAAGGTAACACAGCAGGGAATTGTACATTTATTTATTGTATAAATGTCACATAACATTTAATGTTTTCTATATTAAAATGATATGTTATGCTAATACATTTTTCTCTTAAGCACCTGGATGTTTTCTTTTCTCACACAGTTTGTTATTTATTTATAGAAATGTTTGACAGTGATGATGAGAAGCCAGGGCCTCAAGCGTACCATGTTCCCTCCTTTCTTTTATGAAGCCTCCGTTAGGTGATTGTGTCAGTGGCCACTTGTTTCTAGTTTCAGTGAAAGGGCTTTAAGTCAATATATCGACCTGTATTCTCCGCACATAACAGCCGCGCAAGATTCACTGGTGTTTACTATTTTACAAGAACCATCGATAAGAATTTCATTCCCTGGGAAATCATTCTACAGACCTTGTTGACTTATCCTCCATTTCACTTTTCTATGTGGTTATATTCAGATGTTTTTTGGGAGGGGTAGGCTTTTTCTCATGTTGAAAACAACCCACACATTTACTTAAAGCCTAATTGCTGTTTTTTGAAAGGTATTACTAACAAAGGCGTGAGAGAAGGCTTGGTTGTGGCCTCCCGCCCATTCCTGAGATAACGATTAAACAGGATATCCAAGTTAATGTGTAATATCTCCTATAGTGAAGAACTTGCTTCATAAGCCAGTTTACAGATTGACAGTAAACTTAATGTAAAGCCCACCTCTTACATGCCCCTGTGCATACATGCAAATGTTTGATTCTTAGTTTAGTCATATGGACCGTAACTGAATATAGCTCTGTCTGACCTACTTCTACAGGACGGGGGCCAAGCAAACGTGGATAAAACCTCGCCAAAGACATCCAAGCGGTGTCCGATCCAAAGACAGATGGTAAGCCGTCCCTCATGAGGAGAAAAGTGGGCGATGTCTGGTGCCTCATATGAGAAGCAACCTTCTTTATCTGTCACTATTACGAATGTGCTGTTTCACGGCAGGAGTATTTGACAAAGTTTTTAATTTTCAACTCGAGGCAAGGTTTCGTTTAAAAAAGACATATGAAATATTCCTTATCGTGCTACTGTTTAAGCCCCAGGGGGGCATTATTCCCTGAGTGAGGGCGGAGTGTCTCTGGCATGGCAGACACACAAACCTATCTTTAGCCCTCGCCGTGTGTTGAACAAGTCTCAGATGGTCCCCACATCACCAGGATTATAGGACAGTAATAATATACCGCGGGAAATTTTATACACACATTCTCCTGGGCTGCAACATGAGCCCACATGGCAGGCAACCGGGACTTCTCGTGAGTGAATGACATTCAAAAAAAAGAGAAAGAGCATATGACTGGATTCATGAAACACAAATAACCAGACGCAGCGCAGAGGAAACTTCTGCTGTAACCCTAATGGGCTCGCATGTCTCTGCAGAGCACCTGCAGCGGGGTGGTTCCATACCTGGGGACATATCTGTCCGTCTTCAACATGCTGGACACCGCGCACCCCGACACAGTGCGGGTACGTCACGTAACCTTGGCTTCACTATGATAATGGTTCAGCAAATATGACCGCAATTGTACTTTCAACCCCCTTTTCAGGATCTGTAAGAAGTATTTGAAAATACACAGTATTTTGCTAGCTGTCTGTCTGTTTTCCTACGATTACTTTATACATTGCATTATATATATGCAACAAATATGATAAATTGAAAAGGGGAGATGTCAGCTATTGAGCTCCGCTAAGCTACCGAAGTTTAGTTGAGGACATCTTCAACCCATCGTTTAGTTACCGACTTGTTTAGTAGCCAGCTAGCTTGATTTAGCTTTGAGTGTCTTGTTTGTGTTTGTGACCCCCACAAACAATCCATAAATTTCATGTAATATTGATATTGCATTATAATTGTAATGAGATAAAACCGAATTTACCAGTTATGGATGATTCACATGGGTTGTAAACATAAAATAAATGTTCTTTGTCTACCTTAAACAACACAGCAATGTGTAATAGTGTGTAACCATTTACTAACCCTAACCCTACTGCCTATAAATACTAAATTAGGCGGTTGTTGGATAAAAAAGGGCTACTGTAGCCTTTATTTATTTTTCTGATCCAATCAATCATTGATAAATCCGATAAATCAATGTGTCTCGTTTTACAGGGCGGCCTCATAAACTTTGAGAAGAGGAGGAAGGTAAGTGGTTCCTCTTTGCGTCATCTTTCATGCATTACACTTTTTTCCATAGTATTCAAAAAAGTACAAATGTGTCCAAGTAACGTTCCGTTAGCACCATGTGATGGTGCAGTATATTTACATCGCCAAAGTAAGAGAGGCTCATCGTTCTCGGCCATATCACATGCTGAAAGCTGAAGACCTTTTTGGACGATTATGTTTGTCGTTCAGAAACGCTTTCGTACATCTTTGCTTTGCTACATCCTTCTGGCTACAGGCCATGTGAACCAGGTGTCGGAGGTCAGGACATCTTTTAACGCTGTTCATCTCTCTCTCTCTACAGGAGTTTGAGGTTCTGTCACAGATCAGTGTGCTTCAGGCCTGCTGCTCCCAGTACAACCTGCCCCACAGCCCCGGAATCGCTGCCTGGCTGCGGGGACACAAGCTGCTCAGCGACCAGGAGAGGTGAGACGTTTTTCATTTCCACCTCCACACGACGTGCCGGCGACCCGATGGCGAGCTGAAAAAAGGCTTCAGCAAGCCCAATAACTGGCAAGCGTGCGTCGTAAAAATTCTTCATTTGTCGGAGCCGTGTGTGTATATATATATATGTATATATATATATATATATATACATATAAATATAGTCATAAATCAGGTAAATCTACTACTAATACTTGCAAGAATGACTCATCATGAAGGCAAATTTGAAATTATATAAATAATTATATGAAATTATAAATAATTACTTTGATTAAAACAGTTGGACAGTGACCACAACTAGTGTGTAAACACTATAAATGTTTGAGATGTGTGTGAAAATAATCTTTGGAAAGTGCACATTAGGGTTAAAGTTGTGTTGACGTATATGTGCGTATATATGTATATCTCGCTAATGTTCACCTTAAAAAGATTCTTTTTTATATATATATACAGATATATCTCAAACATATCCCAAAAAGTCATTGATACAATAATCATTGCCACAGTTATTATTATGCAAAAAAATCAACTCCGTTTGTCTTCCAGCTACGAACTGTCCAAACAGCTGGAGCCTCCCTTGGACTTGTGTTCTCCGACTCCCTGGAGCCACCGCGCTCTCTCAAAGAAGCTCTCCTCGTGAGTGCAGTGCTGTAGTTGCATTTTCATATTCAAACCCACCCCCACAACACACACACACACACACACACACACACACACACACACACACACACACACACACACACACACACAAGCGACACATTTGCATTGCCACAACATGGAGGGAATACATTGTTCCGAGTGTAGCTTGTTGTGTGCAGTGTGAATACACAAGACGTCGATGATATGATTGCGTATCAAACGCCGTTATCCTCGTCACAAAATGAGTTCTGTCCCTGACGAAAGCTCACGCAGAACTTTTTTTGTCCTCAGTCTTCTGACGGTGAGCGATGGACCTAAAAAAGTCTGTGCGGACGAGATCAGCGTTTCGTCCTCTGGATCCAGCGGATCCGAGACGGAGGATCTGTCCTCCCTTAACGCGGCCTGCTCCATCAGCGTGCAGGTAAACCGCCTCTTTGTTTGCTGTCTACACTCGTGTCCTCGGATGAGCTCACACGGTGCCTTCGTCCTAAAGGGCGTTCGTGTTCGGCACAACGTCCTATTATTTACTCTTCACAGGGACTTGTTTATTCTTCTCTTTTTCCTAGAAGTAAAAGAAGCATTTGGTGGTGGATGAGGGGTTGTCTCACGCTGTCTCACCTCCTCCCTTCCCCGTCCCCCCCGTCTTCTCTGCAGTGCTTCCACAGCTCTTGCAACAATGTGTCCGAAGCCTTCTGCTCCCCCTCGTCCTTCTCGGCATCGTCCCCCTCCTGCTCCGCCGCCTCCTCCCCAGACTCCCCCAATACTTCCAGCTCTTCCTCCTCCTCTTCCTCCTCCGCCTCCGCCTCCGCCTCCTCTCACCACAAGCGCTCGGCGTCCATGACCTCGCTGCCCGTGTACAACCGTCAGGTGGCTGACTCCTGCATCGTCCGGGTAAGCGTGGACCTGGGCCACAACAACGGCAACATGTACAAAAGCATCCTGGTGAGTTGTATGGATTTCAAAACATAGGGTCTTCAACACTTTTTGTTGTTTTTATATTCATAGATCAAGATTTTATCTTATTTTTGAATTCATGTTTACTTTAGACTTCTATATGTACTTTTCCTGAAAAGACTTGCAATAGGTCTGCCACTGACTTTTCAAAATAAAAATTAAAATGTATCAAATATATAAAAAAATGACTGAGTAGTTAACATGCAAATTGCAAAATACTTTGACTACGGAACATGTTGAGACTGACTTTCACAAGCAAAAATGTCACTGCCGTCTGTTTTTAATGGCTCTTTATTGTTATTCTTTGTCTCTTATAGTTGACCAGTCAGGACAAAACTGCGCAGGTGATCGTAAGAGCGCTGGAGAAGCATCACCTTGAGCACATGAACTGGCAGGACTTCACTCTGACTCAGGTCATCTCTACGGAACGAGGTCAGTGGGTCACAATCACTGCACGATCAGAAGAATCCCTTTAAGTTTGGAAAAACTCACCATTTCTCCTTTTCTGTTTCCAGAGTTGCTCATACCCGACAAAGCCAACGTGTTCTATGCCATGTCCACGCTGGCCAACTTTGACTTTGTTTTGCGGAAGTTCCATAAAGGCCAGAAGAAACCGCTGAGGGCCACGTCCAGTCTGGGGCGGTACGCAAAGTAGCACCTCTAGGCTACCGATCCTGGAAGATGAACTGAGCTGATGGGACTCTCCTTGAAGAATGGTCTTTGTTTTAATGGTCCCTTTTATGGAAGAAAAGAGCCTTCTCCAAGATGGTTCATCTTTGTTCATTGGGATACCGAAGAGGTAAAAATGTGATGTTTTTTATGGTAAGATAACGCAAATGCACTTTAAGAAGAAAGTTCACCTCAACAGAAAATGGATGCTTGGAGAAACATCTGGATCAGACCATTGGCATGACCTGGTAGGAATCCTAAAAAAAGTCAACCCATTGCATGATCCCCCTCCGCCCCCCTCCCCCAGAAATATGTTCCCAAATGCCTTTAAGTGCATAGCGCTGCTAGATGTCAACGCGTGTCTGCTTCGGTGACCTAACATGAACGCTGAGAAATGTCCGCCGATGCAGCTGGGCGCCAATAATAACCTGTGTGTTAAAAATAAAAAAAAACGCCAACGGTAATGAACTCCTGGGCCTGACTGCCAGCCACTCTGGAGGTGAAGCGTGCCATCTTGGAAGTGGGAGGGGACGCTGCCAACGGCGTGATCCTCGTGTGAGGCGAGCAGCCCCGACTGGACGGGTGGCATTCCTGTGTCGGGGTTACCATGGCGGCGGCAGCAGCAGCAGAGACTTTTGATGGACGGGACGGGATGTTCAGATGTCTCTAGATAGCACAACAATAAGGGGTGAACAGAGTCTAGAAAAAATAATAATAATATATTCTGTGGTTCATTTGGACTGCGCCTTCATTTGATTCAACTGATCAGTGGTGGTAAAATCATTTTAGAGAAGCCTTATATTCTGAGGATATTTTAAATGTTAATGACATATTTAAAATTGCAAGAATGCTTGTTGTTTATGTTTTATTACTGAAATTGTATTAAACAAATATGGTTTAGACTTGTAACTCCTGGATGTAATTTTAAAGTTTAGATGTGATCATTTCAATGACGTGAACTGACTCTCTGCTGAGACGGCAGATAGGATAACGTTCAGACAGCCGGCGCTTGCAAAGAGGAAGAGGTGCACGTCAAACGGACGCTGTCACGGAGCCTCGCTGAAAGGCGCAGCGTAAAGAAACAGACGTCACTTTGACCTCCTCTTCCTAATTAGCTCATGCAGATCTGGGGCGTTGAAAGTGTTAAAAACGGTCTTTTATTGCTCTTAATCAAACTTATGATCAAGGAATTAACTGTCACAGTTGTAAAACAAAGTGAAATAAATGGTTTAATAACCTTTTCCGTCCTAGTTGACTGGTTTCTGCCATGAAGCTCAATGTAGCCTGTCAGAGGTTAAGCGTTTCCATCGTGCAATATCAAATTATGTTAGCATCAGTGTTGTGACAAGAAGTTTTTTTCTGTATGTTATGTTATGTTATGTTGACATTGGGTTTTTTGTCATATGAGAGCTCATGTTATTTATTTTTTTCTCCCAAATGCCAACACAATTTGTAACAGACCTGAAATTATTAAATGATGAAATACAATTTAAAATAAAATGCATTGAAGATATTGTTAAAAAAAAACTGGTAATATAGTTGGAAAATTAAGATTCATTTAGATGCTTTTTCTGGATTTTTTGATCACTTCACGGCATCTTTCAACTTTTTTTTTTTAATGGATTTGCTAAGTTGTATTTGATATTTCATGTCTATTTGATTAATAAACAGCTTTACATTTGTTTTTTTATGAATTGAAAAAAAACTAGTAGTCTGAAGATATTAAGATGTGAAACCACCGTACTTAACCATTGAAGAGAACACAAATAATAAATACGTCACCAACAATCTACACATTTGAATAACAAGGATATATATTATTTAGAATACAAAAGCGAACTTCCTCCAGCTCCTTACTATATTTTTAGCGAGTCTACCCTGTTCTTGGAGGGTCGAATCTATTATGAGTAAATAATCTGTTATCTTGTGTAGAAATCCTGTTTCAATCAGACTATTGATATTATATATCAAGGTTTTGTTTTCTGTTCCACGTGTCGTCAATGACCCCTGCTGGCCGTCGCGCGTCTTGCATCAGGGCCTCGATCCTGCTGTTGAAGTCTTAGACAGCTAAAGTCATGGGACTTATATGGAACCTCTATGGCATACTGTTGCCCTCAGTCAACAAACTACGTTTTTGGACACTGCTACTTTATTTATTTTTTAATAAAAATAATGTATGTAATATCACCAGATATGTCTGTGTCCAATCCAATGAGGACCCAACTTGGACGTGACCTTCTCTCTTGGGCTGAATTCTTTTCAGGCTTTGTCACTTCGTCAAACCCTAACCCACATAAACACACTGAATCAATTTGACGTTGGTTTACATGAATTTACACGTGGATTTATACATGCAGTGAAAATATCAAACTATCAACAAAATGTCAAATGACTATTTGTTCAATATTATTATTATTATTAATTATTTTAAAAAAGAACTCTTTCTAAATGCATACATTGCTTGTTTTACTTTTTCCACGTATCTTATGTGCAAAGAAACTTGTGGTGTTTCAGCACATTGTACATTGTTGCCCTAATTGCACGCAGGAAAGGCATATATTTTGCACTGGTATCATATTTTACAAACACAACTGGGCATTCCATATTTTAAAAACACAAATATTGACATTTAAAAAAATGTAATATTATCTTCTTTTTTTTAAATGGAAAACAGAAGGGCTGAAGGAGCCCTCTTTTGGCCAGTTGCCACGGGTGCATAAAATGTGACGCAATGTGCCTCCGCCAGACTTAATATTGTGAACGAACGCCGCGCGCGAGCAAACTGTTCGCTCATTGGTCCGATGGTCACGCGTCTATAAATAGGCTCCGTTCCGTTTAGCTTTTACAGGTGAGGGGGCTCGGGCCTGCATGAACCCGGCCCTGCTGTAGAAGGCGGTTTGTGGCCTAAACAGTTTCCATAGGCGGCCGAATAAACACTCTCCTCGCCTGTGAAGACCCAACGATGTCCCGAGGACACGGACGGTAGGACCCCCCCAGCCGCCTCTAACTAAGCGAACGCAGCTCATTGTAAAGTAAAGCGGCTAAAATATATAGAAAGTGAGGGTGAATGTCGCCACAAGATGGCGTCAGAGATCCGCCCGCTCGGCCGCAGGTGCGCTGACTCGACGCCTACCTGCATCGGCGTGGGGACGCCACGTGGGAGCGGTAGCACGTTACCAGTGATGGCGCGCGCTGCCAGCTGCTTGCGTCAATGCGAACACCCAACCGCGCCGAGACCCTCGGGCCCCCATCCGGCCCGACGCGTCTGTGACGTCAGCTTTGCTTCGGGTTTGATTTATTCACCGGTGTCATTTACAAATAGACAACTTTAATCACATTTTCATGGAAGAAATCCAACCGCTGCTCACCTGATGAGAGGATCCACAGACCCACAGAGAGTCTGCAGCGCTACCGACCCACCGACCCACTCTGCGCACTTTGCTGCAGTGCGTGCACACTCAGCACATGGATGTGGGTTTGAAATCATTAGGTTGTAACTTGCTGTGTGTGTGTGAGCGAGATGGGGCGGGTGCTCAGGTCAGCAGTTCTCAAGGAGAAATGGGACACTGCCCCTCGTCTCATACTTTCTTATGTATTATGTATGCCTGTGATGTCCGGCCATGAGTTTGATTCTGTGTGTGTGTGTGTGTGTGTGTGTGTGTGTGAGCGTGTGCGCACTGCGCATAGCCACGGAAGTGCACATGGTATCACTGCCTCCCCCTGTAGCCTTGAGCGAGACGTTCAAGGCCTTATCTGGATCTGCCCAGGAAATCGGTGCGGAGCCTCTAAAGAGGATTGATGAGACGAGGAGTTTGGTCGTCAATATAACGGACGGCCTTCACCTCTTTTGAACCTCCGAGAGGGTTTTAGGAAGTCGGGGGACGCTTGCTTTCCTAAATGTAGCATCAACGGGGCGTGAGGACGCGTCACGTGGCATTCGCTCTTCTACGGGAGGTCACGGCCCTTTTGATTGTTTTTGTTTATTCTGCCACCGGTCTGACGTCCGGACTTGTGTAAGCAGAGGACTTGTCTTCACCTTTTTAACACACCTCTGTTGTAATGTGGTGGTTGTTTCGTAACAACGCCGATCGCACACGTGGATGTTAGGCAACAGCTTCCTCTGATATCTGACCCCCCCCTTCTCTGGGAAGAAAGGCATTCGGCTTGCTTTACAGCTGCGAGTCCGAGAAAGGACAGCATGTGTTGGCAGCTTACGTGTACGTGCGACATCGTGTGTGCGTGTGTGTGTCAGTGAGGGTTTTTCATTGTTCCAGTGGCTGTAAACGCTGTTACAGACTCTGCACACTGTTGATAAACCTTGTTCCCCGCTCTCAGAAGAGAACACACACACACACACAGAATCACACCACATTATGTACACAAACATTGAATCACCATGACACCCCTTGATGTTCTTGGCAGGGTGCAGATTGTGTGTGCCATATGCGCACAGACTCATGCATAATGCATGACGGGCTAAATACGACTCCCCCCCCCCCCAAAGCGATGCAGACGTTCATGCTCTTCCACGCCCGTTTAAACCAGACCTGCAGATGTTTTGGAACCCGCTGAAACAAATGTAAGGCCCACCGGAAGTATAGCGTTGGCATTTATCTCCCGTCTCGAGCCGGGGGCATTTATGTTGCTCTATTCTGAGATTGTAGTCACGCTACTTCTACATTTACATCACTTCTAATGAGATGCTGCTGCTTCTCTCTGCGTGTTCTCGTTACTCATGGGATCGCAACGCCTCGCCCGCCCTTATGAACTGTGATCTGAGATTCGGCATCTGGCTGCATCTGGCCGAGGGGCGGCGCGTGGCGCGGTGGATAGCGCTGTGGCCTCACAGCAAGAAGGTCCAGGATTCAGAGCCGTCCAGCGGCTGAGGCCTTGCATACCTTTTTTACAGTATTCCCCAAAAATGTCTGCCTGACGTTTTATTTCTTGTCAGCATATTAAAAGTACAGTGTGTCACAAACGGCACCTCGTGCAGTGGCTTTCTCTCCCTTTGTTTGTTTGATTTGTTCATTATAATATACGGAAGCAATGAATCAAGGAGACTAGAGGTCATGTATTTGCTAGTAACGGTATGTACTTGGCAGTACATGTTTATCCAGTTTTCCGAGGCGACCTGTTTCACTCGTCTCTGAGGTGCGTCCCCAATCCGGACAGACGCCATTGTTTCCTCACTCCTTTGGAGGAGAGCTTAATCACTGTCCTGTTCTCTCTGCTTTTCTTCAGCATCGCGGCCCGTCTGTTTTTAGACGCACGGCCCGTCATATGCGTTGCCTTTATGGGTGATGGTTAGAGCGAGTGTGTGTGTGTGTGTGAATGGAGACTTTAGCCTCCTCCAGCGTGAGTCACCCGTTGACGTATTTCAGTCAGCGGCAACATGCTCTCTGCCCCCCCCCCCTTCTGTCTCTCACAGCTTTGTAGCCCTTTCAGCAAAGAACCCGCCCAGTTCCTCTGCTCCGCCTGTCACTCCACGGACAACGGCTGCCATTATTACCCGGTTTAAGTACCTGTCGATAACCTAGTTTCTCATGGAAAGAACAACCGTGAACAGGCAGGACACAAGCTGACACCCCCCCCCCCTCTTCCCCACCCTCCTCCCCTCCCCTCAATCATGAGACTACGCGAGGCCTCGGTTGAGCCACAGTCTTGCTCAGTTCAACGTAAACACGTCTAAAGCGCTCATACCGCGGCTGCTATTAATAAAGAGCGGCCTGTTCAGCCTCCTGCCACGAATTCGGGTTGGCTCTTTTTTGAAGGGCTTAGAGCTTCTGAGAAAAAGGAGGCGAATGACGACCGCCTTGAATCAAATTCAAGCCTGCGAACATCAAAGGTTCATAAACAGCAACTAAGTGCCCCCCTCCTCCCCCATTAACAAAGAGCATCCCCGTAGCGGCTGTGTGCCCCTCGGCAGGAGACGCCTGTCACTCGGCAGCACAGCGTTTGGACTTGTCCGCCCTGCTATCCGTCATCGGCGTCGCCGTGTGAGACGTGCTTTACGTGCCGGGCCTTCTACAGTTCACTTGGTGTGTGCGGTCGATCATCGTGAGCGGGACCCTCTTACGACCAAACTACCTGTTGCATTGGAAACTCCTCCCACTGTGCAGGCGAGGCAGACAAACTATGGCGGATCTTAAGGTGGCACATTTAACACGGCATGTAACCGTAGATGTGTGTGTGTGTGTGTGCGTGCGCATTACACAGCCGGCAGACTTGCCCCAGTTACGGTGATCGTGTTGACTGCATGCAAGCAACCCCTCACATGGGGCCGGCTGGTCGCCCCCCTCCCTCCCTCCCTCCTCCCCTCCCTCCAGGTGTTTGGGTAAGTGGAAGACGGATGGAGCAGCAGGGAGGCCCCTTAGTGTAAACGCTGTCCGTAGCACAGAACTGCCTCTTCGCTGTCCGTCCTTTATGTGCAGCTTTTGGTGCGACTGCAGTGACTTTGTGTCTCTGAGGGCGTCCCAGCGTTTCCCCGACGCCTGCAGCTAACGTCGCCATAGCGGTTTGTTCCAGACGCATGGTTAGAAAGATGGACACTTCTTTGATAGAATGATCCGTCATTGTTTGGGTGGGATTCAGTTATAATGGTTTCACCAGCAGACTCCAGACTTTGGCAGAGCACATAACAGTGATTATGCATCTGCAATGCTTTCCAACAAGGCACCCTTT